ATGTACTTTCCACGAATATAATATATATTTTAATATACTAAAAATACATTATTTATGTACTGATTGTACATTATTTGATAGTATGGTCCATACAATAATAATTGTTTGATAACCATTGCATTAATGAATGGATCAATCAATGCAAATTGGCAACCCTTAAAATCAGTATCACACAGCTAGATGTTGTCAAGAGGACAACACACACACACACATGATAACTACCAAACTAAATGAAAATAGAAAAAAAGATATCTTCATTATATTCCTTCTATCTCTTAAAATCTCTCTCCTAAACTTTAAATTTTTGGTGATCTTTATAGAAATTGGTTCCTTGCTAGTTATTGATGCATGACAGCATGAGTTATCTAGTTTAGATTTTTAAGTTAATAGCTTTTAATGTTGAATCAAAAGTCATTGTCTTAACTTTTTGAGAAAAAAATTACCAGAAAAATTAATTATATTGTTTGGTTAGTGAGAAAGAAATTATTGAGAATATTGATTCCATTATTTGGTCAGGTTTAAAATGGTAAAGAATAATAAGTATAAAATACAATATACTCCGTATCATATTACACAACAACAACAACAATAATAATAATAATGCCCGGAGTAATAAAGAAAGTTCTAAAGGGCAAAATTGTCCTACTAATTTTTCATAAAAAAGTAAAATATCAATATGGAGGAGTGAAAAACTTTTTCTTCATTCTTGAAGAAAATATTTTTATGTCGAAAAAATTGTCCATGAACTAAAAAAAATTTATTTTTTTCTCAAATTTGAGGAAAAGGGAAATGTCAAATATGACCTCGAAGGGTGTGACAAATAAAAATTAAAAGAGAAATCATACAATCTTATCTACATTTCATGGGTATAAAGCCTTAGAAATAAAAAATTTTAAAATAACTTTAAAAAATACTCCATTCCTATTTGGAAAAAAAGAAGAAGAAAAAAAGCAGCCAAACCGGCGGCAGAATAAGCCGTTTGAACAAGGAGAAATGAAGCCGCCATATTAAAATTTTCTAAAGTTTTGAGTATTATAATTCTGACCCACTGCACTATTGAAATCTTTTTCCATTATCACCATTTTCTTTGTATTGTCAATTTCGTCCATCCCTATCCCCCATTAAAAAATTCCAAAAGGACGAAAATACCCTTTTAATTTAATAACCTAATTGTATTTCTTTAATAGTTGAAAATTTTATTTTACCTTTATTTAAAAAACAATGATAACTAATGCATGTGCATTACACTAAGTTGCGAGTCTGTTATGTTTGTCTTCAGGTTCCACCCCTTATTCGTACATTATGTTTCACTGAGATTCGAACTCAATATTATCTCTGAAACAAAATTTTAGGTGATCGGTCAAACCAATTAAGTTAGTCACACAGAGCACAATGATTGATATTTTAACATGCACATCCCCAATTTATATAGTCTTAATTCATATGCTTATTTCGATAGAAAATTCTATTGATCAAATGTCACTTTTAGTCTTTGACGTACTATTTTGAGTTTATAGTATTGTCACATTTAATCATATCTTCTAGTTTGGTCATATTACATATTTGATTTTCATTTATTTGCCACAATTAATCATCTTTTCAAAATTTTTTTATTCCACAATTTAATAAATATGGTTAATATGAAATTCATAATTCAATTAAATTAGTTTACCAGAGAGGAAAATAAATTACATATTGGAGCAAGAATTTTGAATGATAAAATTACATAAATGTTAGTCTTCCATTATTAAAATGTGAAATGCTAAAAATTTAAACGAGTTATACTGCATGTAATTCCAAATCTTACTCCATCAATTTTACTTCCTGATGCGACGGATTCTGATAAGCTAATTTTTCTATGTGGGTTCCAATACAAGTGTCTATATCAAGATTTTGTGTGTGGAGTAAAAGTTGGGAGTAGAAAATGGGGGTACACATAGCATTTTCCAATCTAAACCAATAACTAATTGTGGTAAGTAAATAAAAGTAAAAGATGTAATAAAATAATGTTAAAAAAAAAACTAAGGGGGTATTTGGTAAATAGCTGTTAGCTGATTGGGTTAGTATGTTTGACTAGTTGATATCATTAATTGATTGTAGAAAGATATTTGTTAAATTAGTTGTTAGTTGATAGACGATTACTTGTAAAATGACTTTATCAAAAAGCTTATCGAAGAGGCTGTTTTAATCAACTTTTTGATTATTAGCATTTTGAAAAAATAAGCCGTTACAAAAAACTAATTAATCAAATACTCATATTGATTGTTTAACCAAGTCAAATAGTCAACTGTGGTTAAACAAGTCAAAATTGACTGATAAGCTAACTATGTTTTCAAGTATGGCCTAAAAGTGACAATGACACAATAATCAATGACTAAGAGTGAAATTTGCTAAAATGTTATTCTTTGTTCATCCAACTAACACTTCAACAGGGGCTTCATTGCCATTTCCGGTAAATAAGGGGTGGAAACTGTAATTATCAAAAAAATTGTATAGGAAAAACGAATAAACCCTATCTGTAGGGGTTTGACTGAATTATTTCACAAGTCTGATACCGCGTTTGTACAGAACTACCCCGTTTTGACTCGCCGATCAGTGGAGACTCAGTTTTGACTCGCAGTTAATTGATACAACTTGTAGAATAGTCAACTTTTTATTTTCATTTTAAGAACATATAAAATTTTATCAAAGTTTAAACTTAGGCACTTAGCAGATAACATCACGTTAGTTAATAAAATTAGAAAGACAAAATAATATTATTATTTTTTATGTGCAAAATGTAATTGCAACACAAACCTTCATAGTTATTAGTAAATTAATTAATTTTATTGAGCATTTAATAAATAAAATACAAATGTGTATTCATTCAACTATCAATTTAATCTTTTAGTTAGAATATAATATATTTTCAATTGAGTTAATACCAATTGAGATCTATCGGCTATAGTGACACCGCCACCTTTAATACTAAACTTTCAATTTAACCACCGTGGTTCTTCAACATTCAAATTTAACTATCAATGGTTCTTCAACTTTCAAGTTAACCACTCATGCCTCATGGTATTTCAACTTTCAGAATTTTAACCAGCCTTGGTCTTAACTTTGTCCTTACTTAAACTAACGAAAGGATCACAATTGGTTAAATTTGAAAGTTGGAGGACCATAGGTGGTTAACTTGAAAGTTGAAGGACCATGAATAGTTAAATTTGAAAGTTGAAGGACAACAACATGTGATTAAATTGAAAGTTTAGGACTAAACGTGGCGTTGTCACGACATATTTTTACTGTGAACCCAAAACGGTGTCGTTTCTTTAAGTGAAAAGAAATGTCACTCGTTTTGCGTAATTAGTTCTGTTTGTATAACATATTTAGTTTCATTTTATATACATTGTAGTTTCATTACAGCACAACTAAAGTTTCATTTTGTTTCAACTACAGTTTCATTTGACATTATACATACAATAGTTTTATTATAGTGAGTCCTGTTATTAAATTTCATTTTATACACACTGTAGTCTTATTACAACACCACTAAATTATAATTTTAATTCAACTATGGTTTTATTGGACAATATACATTGAAATATGTGAAGTTGTTATTCAGTTTTATTTTATATACGCTGCAGTTTCATTATAACACAATTAAAGTATCATTTTGATATAACTACAGTTTCGTTTGACAATATACACTCAATATGTGATAAATGTTACCCCGTATTTAGTTTCTTTTTATACATACTGTATTTTAATTTCAACAAAACTAATGTATCATTTTAATTCAACTACAGTTTTATTTGACAATATACACTCAATATATGAGACATGTTATTCAATTTCATTTTATACATACTGCAGTTTCTTTTCAACATAACTAAAGTATTATTTTTATTCAATTACAGTTTCATTTGATATATAAACACAATATGCGAGACAAATTATTCAGTTTCATTTTAGATACACTGTAGTTCCATTTTGTTTTAAACACACAAAAAATACGGAATTTGTTAAAATTTAACGGTTGTAAAGAAACGACGTCATTTTTAGACCATGGTCCACAGTAGAACAACCGCAGTGCCACTATACTTGGAGGACCCCAACTGGTATTAACTCATTTTCAATTTGATAAATTTGAAGCTCAACTACACATTTATTACATATTATATAAACTCATGACTTTTAACATGAAATTAACTCTGATATAAAATTGAAACATGTGTTATATTTCAACTAAGAGGGGATGAGGAATGGGTTCATCACCCGCCAAGAAAGAAACTGAACCCTACAGATGTGAATTAAAAATATACTCCGTATAATCTAATTATTAATTTAGTTTTTTTTAGTTGATACGAAATGCATTTTTTTAATTGATTTCTTTGTTAGTCAATCAAACAATCACAATAAATTCCTAGGAGTTTGACAAAAATATATAGACCCGGTATGGTTAGTTGTCAACAACCCATAGCTTATAGCAAAGTAAATGTTGGAAGTTCAAATCACGTTTGTCGGTAATTAATTTCTTGCTTAAATCCTTAAGCCAATGTTTTACTCCATTGAATCTTGTGAATTTTGTATTAGTAGTATCATAAACATTGTGATAAAATAACTTCTAAATCTTCAATTAAAATGATGGTTATAAATATCAAATTCAACAATCAAAAATTAAACCATCAATGCTCTAAAAAAAAAAAAATTAAACCGTCAAATTTTGTTAAAAGTCTCATGTTGAGAAATTTAATCCCCATGCATTCATAAACAACAACCTTTGTCTCGTTTCTCGTCCTAATTATTCAATTGACTAGTGTTCCTGTTCCTGTTCGTCTATTTCTTTCTTAAACGGTAATAATTTGTTTAATAATAAAACAAAAAAAAAATAAAAAAATAACAAAAACGTGTGGCCGGCGAAACACTTGAAAACCATAATTTTATGCGCACTAAGAATATGTGTATATATATTCTTCAAAAAAATAAATAAAATGTGTATATATATATGTATGATGTATCAGACTCTGTCTCTGTTATTATACTAACCAAAACACCCTCTATAATTCACTCTTTTCTCTCTCTCTCTTCTCTCTTTCTTTCTTTCTCAAAAATAATCTAAAAGAGCAGAGAGCTGACAACAATCGAGTAGAGTGTTTGATAGTGCTAAAAATGGCTCTGGTAAATGAGCTGTTGGGAGTTTCAAGGCTGGAGATATCTAGACTGAGTTCATTTCTGAGCTCATCGAAGTCTGTAGCGGATCTTGATGGGCAGTTGCGCGTGAACCGGGTTGTTGATCCGCTGGGGAGAAGGGGCCTGCAAGTGAAGAGGGTTAGACCGGTGGCAGCCGTGAGCAGCGAGCAGAAAGTGGTGAAGATTGTGCCGGAGAAAGGTGTGAAGTTTAAGGTTAGAGCTGTGGTGACTGTGAGGAACAAGGACAATGAAGATTTTAAGGAAACTTTCGTCAAGCATCTTGATAATCTCTCTGAAAGTTTTGGCAGAAATGTTGTGATGGAGCTCATCAGCTCTGAAATTGATCCAAGTAAGTCAACTTTTTGCTTTTTGTTTTTGTTTTTCTAGTGATATTTACATAATCATGAGGTGAATGATTTATGATTTGAGCTTAAACTTGAGATTTTAGAGTAACATAATATAATATCACAAGGCATTTGTAGAAATTCCTGAACTAGTTAAACTAATGCTTTGGAGTTTGGGCACTGTACAATGTTTGACCTTTTCAAGAATGGTTTTTTTTTTTGGTTGATAGAAAGCAAGGGGCCACACAAGAGCAAGCCAGCGGTGTTAAAGGATTGGTCCAAGAAGTCAAATCTAAAGACAGAGAGAGTGAATTACATTGCAGAGTTTGTGGTGGATTCCAACTTTGGGGTCCCTGGTGCAATCACAGTCACCAACAAGCACCAGCAAGAGTTCTTCCTGGAGAGCATCACCATTGAAGGGTTTGCATGTGGTACAGTCCATTTCCCTTGCAATTCTTGGGTTCAATCCAAGAAAAACCACCCTGACAGCAGGATATTCTTCTCTAACCAGGTATCATCTTGGTCTGTCCAAGACTAATTCAATGTTTTTTAAGGTCATCATCATAGTATGTGGACAGCTATCTGGGAGATGATGTTAATCTCTTCCAAGAGATTCAATGTTCTCATTCAAGATCTGGGCAAATCTTGGCTGTGTTTATCCCCCATATATAATTAGGTTGAATACCCAAGCCTAAGGTCCCCCTACAACCGGGCCCGACATAGCATTTGGGAAGATGTAAATCACGGTGAATCAATGGCCCAACAGATAGGGTCAAATGGCGGTGCGCACAAGGGATCTGTCCATTATGGGCATAATCCCCACACTACCGTTGTCTAGTTTCGAACCTTGGTCTCTTCTCCCAAAGACTGCCTATTGAACTAGTGAGCTAAGCCCATACGGGCATAATTAATATTTTCTTGGGAGGATATATATATTATATACTGGTTGATCTAGAACCATCCCAGCTGCAAGTATTGTATATTGTGTGAAAAAAATGTGGGTTTGAATGTATTTGTTTATTTGTTAATACTATTATTTTAATGTCAATTATGTATGTGGCAAGATTTGCCCAAATGTTTTAATAATATAGAAAAGTTTGAAAGGAAAGTTGATCAAGAAAGAACCATTGGACATCATGATATGTAGACAAACTATATGGGCCATGCATTGTCTGCCAATTTTGCTATCCATTTGACATGTTTACTTTTACTGTAGTACTTAAAATTAGGAGCATGGTAAGATTAATTTTACTATGTTTGTTGAAAGAAACTTGCTGATTGTCTGATTCTTAACAGCCGTATCTGCCCAACGAGACACCTGCCGGACTAAAAGCATTGAGGGAGAAAGAGCTTCGAGATTTGAGGGGTGATGGAACAGGAGTTCGAAAATTGTCTGATAGGATATATGATTTCGATGTTTACAATGATCTTGGGAATCCTGATAAGGGGGTCGATTTTGCTCGTCCCAGACTTGGTGGCGAAGCTATTCCTTATCCTAGGCGTTGTCGTACTGGTCGTGTCCCAACAGACACCGGTAAGTTTGTTACTCAGTACATAAAAATGTATTCTTTTTTCATGCCATTAGATCATTGAGTTCGACCAATGCTTTTTCTTAAAGATATCAATGCCGAGAGTAGAGTGGAGAAGCCATTGCCAATGTATGTGCCAAGGGATGAGCAATTCGAGGAAACTAAGCGGGACGCATTCTCCACTGGAAGGCTTAAAGCTGTGCTTCACAACTTACTCCCGGGATTGCAGGCTAAAATCTCGGAAAAAAACAAGGACTTAAAAGGATACCAAGACATTGATAGACTTTATAGCGAAGGGGTCCTTCTAAAACTCGGAATTAAGGATGATGTCTTGAAGAAGTTCCCATTGCCAAAAATCGTCACCAAGTTCAAAGACGGCGACCTTCTCAAATTTGACATTCCTAAGATAATCTCAAGTAAAGCCTATACTGTTTGACTATTTTTTTGTTTGTTTGTTAGTACATAAAATAGTCTAGTATTTATGTTTCTTATATTGTGTTACGTTTTTATAGAGGATAAACTGGCATGGCTGCGAGATGATGAATTTGCCAGGCAAGTACTTGCAGGTATTAACCCTGTATCCATTGAAAGGCTTCAGGTTTTCCCTCCAGTAAGCAAGCTCGACCCTGAGATCTATGGCCCCTTAGATTCTGCCCTCAAAGAAGAACACATTCTTGGACATATCAATGGCATGTCTGTACAAGAGGTAATAAGAAACAAAATATTTTTATGACCAACTTTCAGTCTCTATAGTCTTTCAACTTTACAATATTTTTCTCTGTTTGGTGAATCTGAACACAGGCTTTAGATTCAAATAAGCTGTACATTGTGGATTATCATGACGCGTACCTACCATTTGTTGACCGGATTAATGCTCTTGATGGCCGTGCTGCATATGCTACCCGGACCCTTTTCTTTTTGACTGATATCGGGACTCTCAAACCAATTGCCATCGAGCTTAGCCTCCCGTCAACTGGTCCGAGTTCGAGGTCCAAGCGGGTAGTCACACCGCCAGAGGATGCAACCACTTATTGGATGTGGCAACTTGCTAAAGCTCACGTCTGCTCCAATGATGCTGGCGTTCACCAACTCGTTCACCACTGGTAATTAAGCTAGATAGATAGCAACCGATTTTCGATTCGGCCTTGTGTAAGAGACTTGCGTTTAAACGCCTTTGGTTCGTCGTTTTCTTAGGTTGCGAACACATGCTAGTATGGAGCCTTTTATTTTGGCTGCTCATAGGCAGTTAAGTGCCATGCACCCAATCTATAAGCTTCTCGATCCACACATGAGATACACGCTCGAGATTAATGCCTTGGCTCGCCAGGGCTTGATCAGCAATGATGGTGTTATAGAGTCTTGCTTCACTCCAGGTCGTTATGCCATGGAGATCAGCGCTGCTGCTTATAAGAACTGGCGGTTCGACTTGGAGAATCTCCCTGCTGAGTTAATCCGAAGGTAATTTTATTACAATGTTGAAAAAATCGCTAGGCGCCTGGGGACTGCCTAGGGCACCTAGGCGGGTGCCTAGGAGGCCGACCGCCTAGCGCCTAGGCGCGATTTTTGCAACATTTGCACCTATCTAGATCAAGATTAAGACAGTGAATCTAAATGGTTATTTTCTTTGAATGATGTAGAGGAGTAGCAGTAGCGGATTCAACACAGCCACACGGGGTTAAGCTTTTAATCGAGGATTATCCATATGCTGCAGATGGTCTCTTGATCTGGGGCGCGATTGAGAATTGGGTTAAGACTTATGTGAGCCATTACTACCCAGACCCCGATCGGGTCTGCAACGACAGGGAGCTTCAGGCATGGTACGCCGAGTCCATCAACGTGGGCCATGCCGATGTTCGCCACGCCGACTGGTGGCCAACTTTAGCAACACCCGACGACCTCATCTTGATCCTCACCACCATCATTTGGCTCTCGTCTGCACAGCATGCCGCCCTGAACTTCGGCCAGTACCCCTACGGGGGCTACATCCCTAACCGCCCGACCCTCATGCGTCGTCTAATCCCCGAGGAGAACGACCCCGAGCACGCCATCTTCACAGCAGACCCTCAGAAGTACTTCTTCTCCGCACTACCAAGCCTGTTGCAAGCCACGAAGCTCATGGCCGTGGTGGACACTCTCTCAACTCACTCCCCCGACGAGGAATACCTCGGCGAAAGACCCCAAACATCAACGTGGACAGGCGACACCGAGATGGTCGAGGCGTTCTACGAATTCTCGGCCGAAATTCGGAAGGCGGAGAAGGAAATCGAGGCCCGGAATAGCGACACCAGATTGAGGAACAGGTGTGGTGCTGGGGTGATTCCATATGAACTTCTTGCTCCTAGCTCTTCTCCTGGGGTAACATGCCGAGGTGTCCCCAACAGTGTGTCAATATGATGCTAGGATGATAATACTTATTTTCTATGGTGTTGATAACACGGAATACAATCATGTATGGTATATCTAATTGTACCTGATATAATCAGTGTTGCAAAAATCGGGCCTAGGCGTCGATTAATCGCTTCAGGCGCCCGCCTAGGCGCCCTAGACGGTCCCCAGGCGCCTAGCGATTTTTTCAACCTTGGATATAATTAAGTATGATATACATGATTGTACTGGTTACCTTGGGCACTGTAGAAAATTTCTATTAATTAATTGTTTGTAGTGAGAATATAGGTATGCATGTAGGGAGTGCATTATTATTATTATTATTATTATTATTATTATTATTATTATTATTATTATTTTGGGTTTGCAGTCAAATTAAATGGCTGTTAGTTATAATTAAAATAGGACTAGTTTAATGACTGGTAGATTGTGAGTAATAGTTTTCTGGTTCAAGTGTAGAATGTGTTACATAGCTACTTGAGAGTAAATAATAATAATCATTATTGTTAATAGTTTGTGTTGCTTTTTTGTTCTTTATTTTTATACTGAAAGTTTAGATGATAAAATTTATAAAGTACTTCTATTTTTGGTCCCGTCGTTTTCACATTTGATGCTAAAGTATTAATTTTATCATATTTGGTGTACGTCTTTTTATTTTTTATTTTTTTATTTTTTATTTTATTATTATTATTATTTTTTGTCGTAGTCCTTTTTGCCAAATAAAAACAATAATATGTCTTGAATCATATCAATTATTATTGTGTGGAACATGATCTATACAAGTTGTGTGAACCATATTTTGTCTACTGTAAAATAATGTATATTTAATACAAAAATAATGTACATTATTATTATTTTCGTTCTGAGTGTATATTATATTGTATAATGTACATTCAATACAAAAATAATATACATTTAGTATATTAAAAATATATTTTTTATTATGGTTCACATATCATTATGCAGACTAGGTACACACAATAATTTGCGGACCCCGCTTCTTTATTGAACGTTGTCAGCCCACCATTGGTTGTTCTGGATCAGAAGAGAGTCCATTTTAGATTTTTAGTAACACAGTAAAAAAACGAAAAAGACGAAAAAACAAAAAGCATCAGATGTGATGATGACTGATGAGACGGGGATAGACATATTGAGTTTGGCGTGGTGAAAATTATTTAGAGTAATAAATATATAAGAGTACGTAAGTTCAATGGTGGAAGTTTTTTTCAGGCCAAGCAGGAGGAAGAAGAAAGAGAGAAGAGGTTTAGACATTATGAACTGATCTGAATCTTAAAATTCTTTCATTATTTTTCATTGGATCTTCTCCTTCAAAACAAGCTTGTCTAGTTATTCAAGTTTTGTAATAGCCTTGTTATTAGGTCTCTATTTGTGTTTTGACACTTAAAACCTTATTTTATTACGGATCGAAAGGGCAATTCCAGTTCAATGCCCTATTTATTTAATTCTTGTTCTCATCCAATGTTACCCAATTACATATGAGTATGGTCCAATAAAACCATAAACATGTATTGACATTACAATCTATTTTTGTGCATGAATGAACTTAAAATAGAAAAAATTTAAAATCTTCCTAAAAATTTAGCAAAATTATTATTTGAATGTTACTGATTCTATTGCAATGTAGTATCTGTTTATAACTACTTTCTCAACTTACTAAAGCACAAAAAGTCAATACCGAATCCATTAAAACTCAAATCCACACTCTCTCATATGAGAGTGCAATCTTACTGCCTTCAGACCACAAGGCCTTGGCTATTATTATTATTATTATTATTATTATTATTATTAAATGTGTTCGAGTCAAACTTTTATCCAAAAAAAATGTATTTGAAAGACTCTTTTAATATTTTTATTGAAATTTCAAAATTACGTTTTTTTCATCCAACCCATCACCCATGCTATATAATTTGGTTGCGTTTACTTTATTTCTCTCATTTTCTCTAATTTTTTAGTTCTTTAATGTTCTATTTTTTCATTTTATGCTTTTAAATTAAAAAAATGTCAAATAAATATATATGTTTTCTATCTTATTTTTAAAATTTCACTTTCAGACAAATAATACAAAATTCTATTAACAAACACTTCTTTGTTTCCATACATCATATCATATGAGTTGTTATACCATGGTCCAGGGTTTATCTTGCAAGGTGGACCCTAGTCCTAAACGACATATAAATGGTGTATTTTTAGTATTGGAATTATAAATTTTTAGAGTATAAATTGTGTTTGTAAGTCAAAACACATAACAAGTGTAGAATAGAATTTGTGACTACAATACATGGTCGTTAAATCCTAATCTGTTTTTTTTTTTTTTTTTTTTTTTTTTTAAAGCAAATCATAATATGATAATGTCGTGTAACTGTAATATTTGAAAGGAACTTGTTAATACAAACAAGGTAATCAATTACATATATGTTAGCATTATGTTTTCGTAGTATACAAATTGTGAATCTTTAAAAGGTAAATTGTGAACAGAATAATTTTTACTTCCCTTTAAGCAAAGTTGCACAACAACTCAATTAGTTTATGGGTGCTAGATTGCGGACAAGAATATATGATTGAGCTTTGATCTGACAACGGCAGTTTGAAAGTTACATTCAATATGGTGGACTTTTTATACGGACCGTTAAACGGACAGAGAAAGACCCGGACCACAATGTGTGGTTGACACCAAAAAAAATATGGTAGACTTTTTGTCAGCACCAAATATTAGTCCTCCCACCAAATAAGTCACTTAGTCAACATGATTTACCTCTCTACTATTCTATTGGACCACACAATTTGCCCATTATACAATGAGGTTATTTCACGGTTAAGAAAATTAAAAATTTATGGCAATTTAAAAAGTATGAAACTTACATGTTTGGTGAACTAGAGCCACTGCAAAGGTAAATTGCGAGTCGCGAAATAAGTTCACTGGTCAGACCTTAGTTTTCATGCGCGCACAAGAGATCCAATCACCACATTCAATTGTCGAAATGTTTTTTTTTTTATTCATATTTTCAATGTGATTCGAACCCCCACAATGCCGCCTTCAATTTCATCATGGTAGTAAGTCAGACGACAAACCATTACACTAAGTTCCGTGGCATATTGCCATTTTATTTATTTATTTATTAAAGAGAGTTATTACAAGCTATGAGTGTCCATATTCTTTTCTCTAAATAATTAAGAATGTGTAAAACTTATCCAAATTTTATTTTTATTTTTATTGTCCTTTATTGTTGGGTTGTTGTAAGGATATATATATTGACGATTAAAAATATTTTTGTAGAAAAATGTTTGAAATAAATTTTTAAGATAATAAAAAAATGCTAATTAATTTCTCCTACAAATACATTCTTAATAATTACTTTTACAGAAAAACACCAAATACATACAAGTTGATTATAGACGTGTTTGAGTCCCGAGGGTTTCTCCCTCTCTCTTTTAATCAAAAAAAAAAAAAAACAAAAACAAGTTGATTATACCTAACGAGTCTTCTCTGTCTTCCCGTACTCATACATACCCTTGACCCTTCCGCTTGGGGTCCCATCCCTTTGATATATTATCTGATCTCTCTGATATTTCTCTCAATTATTGCTAATAAGTATAGTACTCATCAGTCATCACTCTCTCCGATGGCAAAATAATGCTACGTGAATCATAATAAAAATACATTTTTAATATATTAAAAATATATTATTTGTGTATTGAATATACTTTTAATACTTAAATAATGTATTTTTTTTTAATATAACGTATATTTTTTTTTTGAAAATATATAATGCATATTTTTAATATACTAAAAATAAATTATTTAATATAATGTTTATCCCCACTCATGACTGAAGCAGTTGCGTGCAAAGAAGCGTTATCATGGTTACGAGCGCATGGTGAACAGGCCATCCAACTTTACACAGATTGCCATACGTTGAAGTGCTACTTATTCTCACCAGGGACTCCGCTCCGATCCTATGTTGGATATGCTATTGATAGCTGCAAAGCTAGCATATCTACATTTTTTACCTGCTCAATTAATTTTGTTCCTAGATCACAAAATTTATTAGCTCATACTTTAGCATCCGCAGCTTTTGATCATACTACAGCTATGTATTGAGACTCTGTCCCTCCTAACTCTATTTTGATTTATCTCTAATATAATATAACCACATTGATTTGCTTAAAAAAAAAAATTAAAATTGACCGATAAACTATCTAGGTGAGTAAAGAGGGTATATATTTCTGCAATTCTACACGTCTCACAAATAAGAGCCGTAAAACACTCGTGGATAAGACAAGACAACCACCCTTGTTTCAATTATATTACAACTATAAAGACCCATCACTCTCCGACTTAGACGCTCACCATTATCACCGGCAGCATCTGCATGCTCCCAAATCCCAGTACCCCAGGCTACTATATATAAAAATCTCATTCTATCAATTAAACAAATTGTTTTGATTCAATGGAGTCACCTACTGCAACTTGGATATCCTATGCAGCAGCCTGGGTGTCCACCATTGCACTTCTCCTCCTCGCAAAACATCTCCGGTGGCGGAGAAAACTTCATCTACCGCCGGGCCCAAAACCATGGCCGGTCATCGGAAACTTGAACCTCATCGGAAGCCTCCCTCACCGGTCCATCCACGATTTGTCGGTGAAGTATGGCCCCATCATGCAGCTCCAGTTTGGGTCCTTCCCGGTGGTGGTCGGATCTTCCGCAGAAATGGCCAAGACCTTCCTCAAAACCATGGACATCAACTTCGTTGACAGGTATGGGTGGTGGGTGTCAATTTTGGGGCATTACCTTTCCTGAAATATGCATTTGTAGGAGTAGAGCTTTCTTACTTCTTAAGATGGCATGTTTTGAAAACAAGACAAAATTAATGCATTTTCAGATGCACTTTGGCACTTTGCACACTTTTTTCCCTTTAAAAAAGAAAAAAAACTAAAAATACATCTAAAATTAGACCGGACTCCAAAAATACACATTTTGGGAAATGACCCTTCACTTTCAATAGTTATGCTGTGCAACCGTGTGCACCATGTATATAAAATGATGTCGTTTTGACTAAAAATGCGCGTCTCATTTTAAAAAATAATTCAGTTTTAATTCCCCTCAACAGCATTATGTTGTTCATTCATTGTGGATATTCAGTTCATTCATTGTGGATATTTTGTTCATTCAGTGTGGATATTTAGTTCATTCATTGTGGATGTTTAGTTCATTCATTGTGGATATTTAGTTCATTCATTGTGGATATTTAGTTCATTCATTCTGCATTTTGTGTTATTCATTCACTGTGGATATATAGTTATGAATTTGTGGATATATAATTATGAATTTGTAGATATATAATTCAAATTATGCACATAAAAAATGCTATTTCCCGGAATCGAACTTGTTTTTTTTTTTTTTTTTTTTTTTTTTTTTTTTTTTTTTTTTAAGTGGAACGCGCGTTTTTAATTAAAACGACGTCGTTTTTGCAACCGTATGCACCATACATGGTGCACACGGTTGCACAACATAATTTGCGCTTCACTTTATTTTTGCACACAAAGACAAAATTTAATTTACTGAGGATAAGGCCCATTTGGTTGGCGGAAAATATTTTAGGGGAATGGAATTGAAATTTCATGGAAAAGTAATTACTAAGAAGATGAATTTCATTGTTTGGTTGATGGAAAAAAAATTATTGGGAATATCGATTACATTGTTTGGTTGAATTTGAAATTGTAAAGAATAATGAGTATGAAGACCTATATACTCCTACAAAATAATAAAAGTAATAATAATTAAGAAAGAACAAGAATGGTAAAATAGTCAAGTCATCTCATTTTTCTTCCCAACTTACATGGAAAATAAAATCCCATGTCCTACCAAGAATTTTGTTTTCCTCAAATGTGAGGAATGGAAAATGAATTACAAGAACCAAACACCAAAAAACAGCATTTTTCTCCACTCTAAAGAAAATATTTTCCATGAAAAAACTTTTCCATCCAGCCAAACATCCCCTTTAGTGTTTGCTGCCCACAACTCCACAAGGAACCCATGACATCGGGTGTAGCTACCACTTTTTTTTTTTTTTTTAATGCTACTGACTCTATTACATTGTAGTATCTGTTCAAACATACTTTCTCAACCTAATGAAGCACACAGAGTCAACAACGCCTCCCACTTTATTCTTTGTATATTTATATCTTTAGTTGTAGGTCCCATATATACTTAGTACTCCCTTTGTCACATTTACTTTTTGTACCATTTTTAAGAAATTAAAGTAAATGCTATGTGTTTTTCAATTATATCCTTCACTTTCCTAACTATTGAAAATAAAAGGAGTTAATACCCAAAATAGTCCTCGACTATAATGGTTTTTCTCAATTTCGTCCTAAACAACTTTGGTGACATAATGTAGTCCCAGACTTTTGCGTTTTTGCTCAATTTAGTCATTTCCATCCATTTGGTGTTAAATAGAAGGACAATTCAGTAATTTTAATATTGACATCTCTTTACTCCCGATCTGCGAAGTGCGCAATCCCTCTTTCTTTTACGAATTACTCCCAAACTTACGAATATAAAATTTGATTTGCAGGTCAGGGACCAATATATAAATTAGTTTCAAATATTAAATAAAACCCAAAAAAAAAAAATCAACATACAGACAATTATTTTCAAAAAAGTTTGAAATAAAATAATTTATATTATCTAAACATATTTATCAAAAGTGAATGTAAACAAAAAATGCAAAATATAAATTTTGAAATAAATGAAAAATAATTAATTAATTAATATTTTATTCTTAATTGACATAATATATAGAGAAAATTGTAATTTATGCCCCTCCATAATATGTCAATTATCAATGTCACCCCTGAATTATTAGTGGTGTAAATGTTGCCCCTCAATTTTCATAACGGTACATATATTGCCGCTCCCGTACCGTACAAGAGGGGCAATATATGTACCGTTTTGAAATTGAGTGACAACATTTACACTATGAAGGGACAATATATGTACCGTTTTAAAAATTAAGAGGCAACGTTACACTACTAATAATTCAGGAGTAACATTGATAATTGAAATATTATAGAAGGGCATAAATTACAATTTTCCCTAATATATAACAATAATATGATAATACAAACATTTTAACAAAAGAATTGAAAAAGTTAAATTGCACCCCACCTTGTTGATACTGCAACACTTGTCCTCCCACCCGCTGACACTTTGAAAGCTTGTAAAATTTTACAAGCTTACACAATTTCAATACTTCATGTGGAATTAAAAATTAAAATCTTTTCTAAAAAGTAAATAAATAAAATCTTGCATAGTAGAGTTAGGTATGTTGTACCTGCGTGTAATGGAAGGATTATCCGTATACTTACTCAGTTACACCAATGGGGAATAAAATATATCTACAAAATTCAAGTAATGGGAGGGGTATGGCAGTAAGGGAGGTTTTTTTTTTTTTTTTTTTTTTTTGGATGGGTACCTGCAAGGTAGGTCAAAATTTGTAGGCCAGTCTTAAACCACATCATGGTGGACACTGGACACAAGCTAAGTCATACAACTATTGTGATCAATTTGTTCATTAATAAATTATAATGTGTCATCATATCAGACCCAAAAATGTTGCCGGAAAGCACCTAACGTACAACTATTCCAACGTCACATGGTCACAATACGGTCCATATTGGCACCAAGCACGGCGAATGTTCACCATGGAGGTATTTAGTGCCAAGCGCCTCGACTCTTTTGAGCACATCCGCACCCATGAATTGAAATCAATGCTTCACAAACTCTACAACGTATCCTCAACCCGTCAACCCGTTCTCCTGAAAGACTACCTATTCCTCTTGAACTTAAACGTGATCAGCCGGATGGCACTCGGGAAGAGTTACTTGAATGAGTCCGAGGGATCAATTGTGAACCCCGGGGAATTCAAGAAGATGCTAGACGAGGTGTTCTTGCTCAGCGGGGCATTGAACATCGGGGATTTGATCCCGTGGCTCGATTTCTTGGACTTGCAAGGGTATATTAAGCAGACCAAGGCATTGAACAAGAAGTTGGATAGGTTCTTGGAGCACGTTCTTGATGAGCATATGAGTAGGAGGGTGGTAGAGGGTGACAAGTTTGTGGCTAAGGATATGGTGGACGTTTTACTCCAACATGCTGATGATCCTAACATGGAAGTCAAGATTGAGAGGCAAGGAGTAAAGGCCTTCACCCTGGTTTGTTTCTAACCAAACAATTCCAATTTGTAATTTAAGCTATCAAAACCTTTGCAATTATATGTGGTCACTAACCTAGCTAATTAACTTGTTTATTCATGAATTAGGATCTCTTGGCTGGTGGGACAGAGAGCTCTACAGTGACAGTGGAATGGGCAATTTCTGAGCTCCTAAAGAAGCCAGAGGTAATAAAGAAGGCAACATATGAACTAGACCGTGTAATTGGGCAGAAGAGATGGGTAGAAGAGAAGGACATGCCAAATCTTCCATACATCCAAGCAATAGTTAAGGAGGCAATGAGATTGCACCCGGTGGTGCCGACGTTGGTGCCACGCCTTTGCCGTGAGGACTGCAAGGTCGCGGGCTATGACATTCCAAAGGGCACTCGAGTACTAGTGAGCACCTGGACAATTGGAAGAGATCCGGCTCTATGGGACAATCCAACCGAGTTCATTCCTGACAGGTTCATTGCAAGGGATATTGATATTAAAGGTTGTGATTTCGAACTCTTACCATTTGGTGCCGGGAGAAGAATGTGCCCCGGTTATAGTCTTGGGTTTAAGGTAATTCATGTTACCTTGGCTAATCTCTTACATGGGTTCAATTGGAAATTACCAAATGATATGATTCCGGAGCAGCTCAACATGGAAGAGATCTTTGGGCTTACTACACCAAAGAAAATCCCACTTGCCGTTGTCATTGAGCCCAAGCTTCCCATGCATGTTTATTCTATTTAAGATTTTTTTTGAATTTTTATTTTCTTTAAAGCATTGTTGGAATCTATGTGTGCAATTGTTTAAGTTACTAAAAAATAACCACTATGTATTAAAGACGATGAGTGTGTAATAATTTAAACATATTGTTGGGATTATTACCGTTAATTGATGTCATTCCACCCAATAATGTCTACTATACTAATAAGAGCCCAAGAGAGTTAGGCCTATAATGGGTAGAAAATGTGTTCGTCACAGATTTTAATCAAATGAATGGCTCAGATTAATCAAAAAATTGATCAGATTTAAATTTAACAATGAAATTTACTTAAATACCCACACACCGTTAGTCCATCCGTTAAAATTTTTAATTAACCGTTAGTTTGCCGTTAAGTCAATCCCATCCTTAGTTGACCGTGAGTCCTCTATAATAGTTATTATCCTTAGTTGATCTCCACAGCTGACTCACCCGTCTTCACCTCCTCCGAAGCCATTCAAAGAAAAATAACATAATTCAGAAGCTCAGCCGATCAGTCTGTCGATATCGATTCCTCGAGAGGATCGATCGGCGATCCAGCAATTTATGTATGCCTCTCTATTCGTTCATGGTCAAGAGGCCTAAGAACTTTAACCCTAACACTGCCGATTTAAACAAAGCAACGCGAGACAACACAGAAGAGACTGAACAACGTTGAATCAAATCATCCTCAGTTTTATCCTACGCAATTTTACCTGAAAAGGTTAGTTTTTTTTTTTAAATATTAAAATAAATAAAAATCCCATCTTGTTTTTCCCCTTTCTCATTCGTTGATTAAACTTCATTCTTTGGCAATTTCTGTTGTTGTGTGCCCTAATACAAGTTTAGTTTAACCACTTTTTTATCCACTTAGAATGAACCATTGTTTTATATAGTATTGGCAAATGCCTTATACTGCTCATTCTACATTATACTGCTCATTCTACTGAAATGTACCTCTTTTAGTTTTAATTAAATGATGGGATTGTAGAATTAGTTCTGTTTCATTCTCTAGCTCTGGCTGCTTATGTTCACTCATTACTATGGGATCTGACAAGTTGTTAGTACACAGGTGGAACAGCCTTTAATGGTGTTGCAGAAGAGCTTAAGAAGTTAACTACTTGTGTTGCTCATGTTCTTCCTGTTTCTGATGATGGTGGAAGTACAGCTGAGATTGTCCGAGTTCTTGGTAAGTGTTTTTTAAAATTTATTATTTTGTGTTTTACCATAACCCTTGATTTCTTGACAGTAAATCTTTGTATTAGTATGAAAGTACTCATCACTGTAAGTAATTTCACATTATGTTCATCCTTGCTTTTCTGCGGATACTCGACGTTCTGAACCACTTTGGCTAAGATTAGGAGTATGTAGTTGGTGAATTAGTATGTCTGATAATATATGTAGCTATTACCTTGCGCCCCAAAAATGGAAAATAATGGGAAAAATTTGTTTAGATGTTCTGAACCATTTTTTTTTTTTAATGTTTAAACTGCTTTGGTAAGATAATTGACATTGCCAATAATGACTATATGGTGAATAGGTATGATATTGTGGAAGGGAACCATAACCTTTGGAAAGGCGTCTCAAAACCTTACAGGGAAACTATACGAGCTTTCTTGGCTTAAGGTCAAGACCAGGGCCATTAACCTATAACTTCTCCAACCCCGTATCTGTTAAGCATCCCCGCCACATCGCAAAAGCGACCAACCACCTTTAATATCTATCTATCTACTATACTAATAAGAGCCCAAGAGAGTTAGGCCTATAATGAGTAGAAAAAATGTCCGCCACAGATTTTACAATCTCACCTTTCATCCGTTTTCATAAAAATTATAAACTGTCGCATAGTCATCAAGCTTCCCACTGTTTATCTTTAAATGGATGCTCTTCACATGAGAAAGAATGCATTTCATCATAATAGAAGGAAGCCTTAACATTGGCCTGCAATTACAAATAGAGAAAATGCAGTTTCAGGAACCAATGCAGTGGAAATCATATTTAATATAAAAATACTCATAGGATCATAATAGCTATTGTCCATGCTACTCGCATCAGGTTGAACAGTCTTAGGAACCACCTTCCGCTCCGAGCTTCAGTATCATAGGCCTCCGGAATAGTAGCTTTCTGCAAAATTCTTCTTCTTCTTCATCCCGCGATTTCAAATACCCCATTTAGAAAAGTTTAGTTTTTTTTAAAAAAAAATATTAAAAACAAAAAAAATCCCTTCTTGTTTTTCCCCTTTCTCATTCGTTGATTAAACTTCATTCTTGGCAATTTGTATTGCATTTTGCCTAAGTATATTTAATATATTAAGCTCTAATCTTTGTTTGTTCTCCTTATATCCCGTATTTAGTTTTAATCATACCAGACCTTATAATTACAAATATTAATAATATGTGAATTATTACACCAATTATTTTAACATATTCATAATTCTTATTTGATAGTTTGTGTTTTCTTTCAACTTTATTTGATAGTCATGATTCTTATTTGATTCTTATTTCGTATCTCATGTTTTCATTCTCATCCTTACCTAATCTATGAATTCATATTATCTTTACTCTATAATTTATACAGTTGAATTTAAAGTATATTATGTGATGTTTTCAAAAAAAATAGTATATTATGTGATAATATTTTTTTAAAAAAGTATTATGTGATAACATTGTTTATGAACCATGGAACCAGGATATTAGACATGGAAAAAGAACTCAATTTAATTGATATTGATACACACACAATGAATTGGAGTTCTAAAGTTCATCTCATCAAGAAAAATGAACCAAAATTTGCTATTGCAACAAATGGGAAAAAGTACATGCTCATTGTCCTTGAAGATGAAAGTGTAAGTAATTCATAAAACATTATCTCTCTTATTTCTCTCTTCTTCTTCTTCTTCTTCTTCTTATTATTATTATTATTATTATTATTATTATTATTATTATTATTATTATTATTATTATTATTATTATTATTAATCAAATGCATAATTATAAATGATATATTTAAATGTAGGGAACTCGAGTTCAAGCAACAGTGTTTGATGGTAACATTTCAATGTATGATATGTTTCTAAAACCAAACTCATGGTACAGTATTTCAAATGCCGTTGTCAGACCCGCGTGATCTGAATTCAAAGTTGTAGATCAAAAATACAACTACACTTGGATTCTAAATGCTAAGACCAGAATCCACGCAATTGACAATGTTGACACCACACTGGCTCCAATTGAACAAGTTTATACACCATTCGATGAGTTTTATCAATGCATGAAAACTTCTACAGAAATGTGTAAGTTTATTTTTTACTACATCATTATAACAATATCTATTCTAACCATATATATTCTTATTTTTTTTTATCCTCTATTGACAGCAACCATAGCAATCGTTATTGACAAGCTACCAAAAGAATTTGTCTCAACAGCTAATGGAAATCAAAAAATCAATGACTTCATTCTTGTGGATGAAAAGTAAGTCCCCCAGTCCATTTATACTCTTAAATTATATATACTTACGAGATATAGTTCCATAAGTTATATTGCCTTTAAAATACCCAATGTTAAAATTTAAAAAAAAAAAACAGGTTGAAGCCAATCATATTAACTACTTGGGGAGGATTTGTTGACAAAGAGGGTATTCAAATAACTCAAGAAATTGAAGCAGGAAACTACCCTGTAATATCTTTGGATTACATCGCAGTGGTTCACTTTAAAGGTAAATCATATTTCATTATTAATAAGATTTAAAATGTATAAATTTTTTATTTAAATACCTAATCTTATATTATCTCATTCCTTGAATAAACTAGGCATTTCTCTATCCACAAGAACTCATTCAACAATACTGGTTGAACCAAAGGTACTTAGAGCAGAACACCTAAAAGAATGGTATACTTCTATACTTGTAATTATTTATGTACATGCGAAATATATCATTATCTTGCGTAGCTATATTGAAAAACACAATATTACAAATGTCTATGTAGGGGCATAGGGCGAAAGAACATCGTGACACACTTGACGCATTGAAAAGATGTCGAGACTACAACAATGCTGCAATCAAACTTGCAAATCCAGAAAAAGAAGAAATTAAAAAAAATATCTACCGTTCCACCATCAATTAATCCCGTAAGTAAAATACTTATTGAGCATTCTTTAAATATATTTACTCAAAACTAATATAAATTAACAATCACTTTCATTTTATAGTCTCGACCTGCTTGGATTAAGGGCAAAATCAGCATTAACCTTGACAACAACAGCACTTGGTATATAGGATGTAGCCATTGTTTAAAAAAGGTTTATGCACAAAGTGACCAGCAATTTAACTGTATGCATTGTGGTGAAAAGAGAGCGGTGGGTACTCCAAGGTTAGTATGAATTCAACAAACCAATTTAACAAAAAATACACACACACACACACACACACACACACACACACAAAGGATTAAATACTATACTCATTCATACCAATTTCAAAAATACGAACTACAAAATGCACAGGTGCAAATTGGATGTGGAAATTGTTGATGAAACTGGGCACATTGCGGCGTCAGTATTTGGACTACTTGCAGAGTCATTGTTGTTACATTCAAGTAAACAAGTTATGGAACTAGAACAAGAGGTACTATTCATGAACCTTCTACAAATATATTAATATTTCGTTTAATTCTGTCACATGAGAATATATGGCACACATCTCACAATGAATGGAACATGTAGGGGAAAAAACTACCACTCCTAAATATCAACAAGCGCCTACAAGATCAAGAGTTCGTTGTACAACTAAGATCTCAGGCATATACGCAACAAGGCAGATCCACTTCTTCCTACAGTATAATCTCATTGCATGATGCTTCCCACTATGATATTACAACTAACACAATTGAGCATGGCGCACTACCAAATCAAAAGAAGAGGATGTGTACTGAAGGTGAAGATCAAGAGAATGACAATGCCTCCCTCAAGAGAATTAAGAAGGCTTAGAGAAATTTATTAAACCAAATGTAGATTTTATTTAGACTATTATTTTTAGATTTAGACTAGCATTATTTATACTATTATTTTTAGACTAGCATTATTTACACTATTATTTTTAGACTATGTATTTAGAAAATTACAACCAATTATTTTAGTGACAATTATAATCAATCATAATTGCATTATCTTACATTCGTAAGTTTAGATTATCTATTTAAATAAGCAAATTCAACATCTGATTATCTATATGTATGACCATATGACCAACTCTAATATAATCTTGCATTGATATACTTAAAGTACTTCATAAAAATATAAACAGTGGGCATTATCTCAATCGCGCAATGCGCGTGAAAAACTAGTACTAGAATAAGCATAGTTATGGTGGGTTAGAGGGAGTTGATTGATCAAGATATTTGGTTGATACTTGAATTATTATTAACCCTAACTTGGACGTCGTATTCCCAAATGATTTCACCATTAAATGGAAGCAATTATCACCAATTTAATGCCATTAATTACTTACAACCAGCTAGATACGTACCTTAGCACTAGTACAAATTTGACAATAAATATTAGAGCATAGGTATATGTTGTTTGAGAAAGAGTAGCTAAAGATTGTGATTTAAAAAGTATGAAACTTACTGTTATGTTTGGAGAACACTTTGATGACATGGGAAAGTTTAACTCAATTAAGATTGCGATTTTTTTTTTTTAAAAAAACTTAGGTGATCACTGTTTCGCCGGACTAATTCTAAATTTACAGAATCCTGCCCCTAAAGTTACTGTAAAGGTAAATCATGAGTCACGCAATTAGCTCGTATGTTAGACCGTAATTTGACACCCACACTATCGCTTTTAATTGTGACATTAAGTCGGACGGCGAACCACTACGCTAAGCTCTAAGGGGCAGGTTGTGATGTTTTGATTGATGAGGAAGTTATTACAAGGTATGAGTGTACATATCTTTCTCTAAATAATTGAGAATGTGTAAAATTTATTCAATTATTTTTTTTTATTGTCCTTTATTGTTGGGGTCCCCTTCCTTTGATAAACACAAAAAAATCTCTGATAATTGTCTCAATTATTGCTACTATCATGCATCACCAATTGTTATATCATGCATTGTGTGCTTTAAAAATTTCTTGTTTCGTATGTACATAATTGTATAGCAAATACACATACTTTCAAAAAAAAAAAAGTATAGCAAATACACATAAACTCCTAACATAATACACATAACATAAAGAATATATATTTCTATACGTCTCACAAATAAGAGCCGTAAAACAGTCGTGGATAAGACAACGAACCACCCTTGTTTCAATTATTACTACTATAAAGACCCATCACTCTCCGACTTAGACGCTCACCATTATCACCGGCAGCATCTGCATGCTCTCAAATCCCAGTACCCCAGGCTATTATATATAAAAATATCATTCTATCAATTAAACAAATTGTTTTGATTCAATGGAGGCACCTACTGCAACTTGGATATCCTATGCAGCAGCCTGGGTGTCAACCATTGCACTTCTCCTCCTCGCAAAACATCTCCGGCGGCCGACGAAGGACAAAATATGCTAATGTAAGGTTTTGAACCCAAGACCTTTCTTATTACCATAGATATGTTCTACCAACTAATCTAACTCCTTAATTGTTGATATTTACTAATTTTTTTATACTAATACTAAAACATATACTATATATACATATATACATGTACATATTATATAGGGGTGGGGGTGGGGAGAGGGGGGGCAGCTGACCCCCCTGCCCCCCTCTGCCTCCGTCCCTGTATATATATATATATATGGGTGGGTATCAATTTTGGGGAATTTCCTTTCCTGAAATATGCATTTGTAGGAATAGATTTCTTATATCTTAAGATGGCATGTTTGTTGGAAAAAATAGCTTAAAATGATATAAAATGGCATATTAAATGGTTATTTTGTGGTACAATTATAAGTGGGGTCCACTTCATATTTGGGTCATGTCAAAGTGGATTCGGGTTCTTCGTAGTGAGATGAAGAGATTGATATATTGTACGCTCAAAACGGATAATGGGTGAATGAGATATTGATTCTCAAAGTAGACCCATTTGACTTGGGAAATGAAGTGAAAAATAAGCTTTGTCCCACATTGGTTTGGAAAGTGAATTTGCCCCCTTATATATAAGAGCTCTTTTAAAGCTTGTAGAATTGTATAGTATAGAGGCTCTCTCGTGCGAAGGGTTAGAATTGAATTCCAACTAGTAACGAGATCAAAAAGAGGCTTGTTTTGTTTTGTTTTGTTTTTTTTTTTTTTTTTTTGGGATGGGTACCTTGCACATAGGGATGTTAAAGTAGGTCAAAATTCATAGGCCAGTCTTAAACCACATTGTGGTGGGTACAACTATTGTGACCAATTTGTTCATTTGTAAATTATAATGTGTCATCATATCAGACCCAAAAATGTCGCCGGAAAGCACCTAACGTACAACTATTACAACGTCACATGGTCACAATACGGTCCATACTGGCGCCAAGCACGACGAATGTTCATCACGGAGCTATTCAGTGGCAAGCGCCTCGACTCTTACGAGCACATTCGCTCCTATGAATTGAGATCAATGCTCCACCAACTCTACCGCGTATCCTCAGCCCGTCACCCCGTTCTCTTGAAAGACTACCTATTCGCTTTGAACTTAAACGTGATCAGCCGGATGACACTCGGAAAGAGTTACCTGAATGAGTCCGAGGGAGCAATTTTGAGCCCGGGAGAATTCAAGAAGATGCTAGACGAGGTGTTCTTGCTCAGCGGGGTGTTGAACATCGGGGATTTGATCCCGTGGCTCGATTTCTTGGACTTGCAAGGGTATATTAAGCAGACCAAGGCATTGAACAAGAAGTTGGATAGGTTCTTGGAGCACGTTCTTGATGAGCATATGAGTAGGAGGGTGGTAGAGGGTGACAAGTTTGTGGCTAAGGATATGGTGGACGTTTTGCTCCAACATGCTGATGATCCTAACATGGAAGTCAAGATTGAGAGGCAAGGAGTAAAGGCCTTCACCCTGGTTTGTTTCTAACCAAACAATTCCAATTTGTAATTTAAGCTATCAAAACCTTTGCAATTATATGTGGTCACTAACCTAATTAACTTGTTTATTCATGAATTAGGATCTCTTGGCTGGTGGGACAGAGACCTCTACAGTGACAGTGGAATGGGCAATTTCTGAGCTCCTAAAGAACCCAGAGGTAATCAAGAAGGCGACAGATGAACTAGACCGTGTGATTGGGTATACGAGATGGGTAGAAGAGAAGGACATGCCAAATCTTCCATACATTCAAGCAATAGTTAAGGAGGCAATGAGATTGCACCCGGTGGTGCCGACGTTGGTGCCACGCCTTTGCCGTGAGGACTGCAAGGTCGCGGGCTATGACATTCCAAAGGGCACTCAAGTACTAGTGAGCACCTGGACAATTGGAAGAGATCCGGCGCTATGGGACAATCCAACGGAGTTTATTCCTGATAGGTTCATTGAAAGGGATATTGATATTAAAGGATGCGATTTCAAACTCTTACCATTTGGTGCAGGGAGAAAAATGTGCCCCGGTTATAGTCTTGGGTTTAAGGTAATTCATGTTACCTTGGCTAATCTCTTACATGGGTTCAATTGGAAATTGTCAAATGATATGATTCCGGAGCAGCTCAACATGGAAGAAAACTTTGGGCTTACTATACCAAAGAAAATCCCACTTGCCGTTGTCATTGAGCCCAGGCTTCCAATGCATATTTACTCTATTTAAGATTTATTTGTTTGTTTTTGTTTTTTTTTGTTTTTTTTTTTTTTTTTGAATTTTTGTTTTCTTTAAAGCAGTGTTGGAATCTATGTGTGCAATTGTTTAAGTTACTATATAACCACTATGTATTAAAGATGAGTGTGTAATAATTTAAACATATTGTTGGGATTATTACCGCTAAGTTTTTAAATGGTTGGGTGGCCTTCGTGACGATTGGTACTATCACAATCCCTTGAAAAAAATAGTCAGCTATTAGCTTCTCTTCATGCCTCCTTGTCAGGGTCGATTTTTAAATTTTTGTGACTCGTTCTGATAAATAAATGATACTTACTAAAATTACAATCTTTACAACCAAAATCATATTTTTAATAATAATAATAATAATAATAATAATAATAATAAGGTGGTAAAATGTTGCTGTGCTCAATGACAAAAAAAAAAAAACAAAAAACATATTATGTAATAAATTACAATCACAACAACAACAACAACAACAACAACAACAACAACAACAATAATAATAATAATAATAATAATAATAGTATGCACAAACTCGCAATGCAAAATGATTAAAATAAGGAAGGAAAAAACAAAAATCATATTATGGAATAAGGTACAATTATAACAATAGTGTGCGCAACTCACAATGCAGAAGGATTAACAAAAACAGAAATGTTCAAAGTTAATAGAGCAACGCTCAAGTTTTGAACCTCTAACATTCAAGTTGAAATACAATACAATAAACAAATGTTCCTACCATTCCTCCATGGAGCCTTTTAAGTTTAATTGAGAACTTTTAGTTTCTATTTCTAAACTAATTAGGTAAAAATTAAATATTGGACCCTTTAAAATTTGGAGGTCCTATGCGATAGCCCAGTTGTCGGTGGGTAGTCTTTTTTCTATATGTTTGTCATCGACTTCGCGAGTCACAAGAAAGTAAAAATTGAATGATAACTTGGATACAAGTAGTTTAGTATTTAATCCCGACCAAAATGGTCGGCCCAAGTCTAATAAAGTACTCCGTATAAAACTTAGAGGCCACACTATCGGCAAATTATGCCCTGGACCCGTGTCCACAGTGAATTATAGACACGGGCCCAAAACGACGTCGTTTTTTTTAAAAAAAAAACGCGTCATTTTGTTAAAAAAAAAAAAATTCGCGCGCGTTTTGCCGTTAACGGCGTTATTTTTTTTTGGATTATGAATGTACAGTTATGCCGTTATGAATGTACAGTTATGCAATTATGAACACAGAGCTCTAACATTATGAACTTACAATTATGAACATATATAGTGATAAAATTATGACCATGGAGCTTTAAAATTGTGAATATAGAGCTTCGAAGATTATGAATGTACAGTTATGGAGTTATGACAGTTATGAGATTATGAATCTACAGTTATGGAATTATGAATGTACAGTTATTGATCGAATTATGAACAAAGAGCTCTAACATTATGAACTTACAATTATGAACATATAGTGATAAAATTATGAACATAGAGCTCTAAAATTGTGAACATAGAGCTTCGAAAATTATGAATGTATAATTATAGAGTTATGAATGTACAGTTATGGAGTTATGAATGTACTATTATGGAGTTATGAATGTACAGTTATAGAGTTATGAACGTACAGTTATGGAGTTATAAATGTACAGTTATTAATAATATAGTAATAAAATTATGAACATATACTCCTATAACGAAGCTGTTTGAAATTTAAAAAAAAAAAAAAAAAAAAAAGGAGATAACAGTGCCTAACGGCACTGTTACCCGTGTCCAGCAAGCATGCTGGACACGGGTCCAACGCATAACGATTGCACACTATCTCATTCTTGAAAGTGCAGATGAAAGATCTTTGAACTAGTTTTCTATTAGGAGATTGAATTGTTTTCCTTATTATATTGGAGATTGCATTCTTTGTGTTTTAGAAATCTAACTTGTGATTAGAATTCATGATTTGAGGAATCTATTTTCTATATTCCGTCCAAGTCCAAAGTTAGTAGTTTGAGCTGTATAAATTTCCTTAAGAACGATTTGTAAGATGTAATTGACACGTTTTTCATTCTCAAAAGCAAAAATAGCCCCGAGCCCTTCCACAACTTATTTTCAATTGGGGTGTTGGTCAACCATCGATATCTTAAGTCAAACATTTACGCTGTTTGTAGATGTTAAACAAAAGTATTTCAAAAAGAAAAGCTAAAATAAAATTTTTAAAAATTAACTAGAATAATAAAAATTAAAATGAACATCCAGTATTCTCTTAATGAACATATTTTAGGTTTATTAATAATATGATATAATTGTATTATTATTTTAAAATTGAACATTCAATATTGTTAAAATGAGCTACCAATATTGTGAAATGAATCTGCATTATTTCATTATTGAATCTATTTGATGAGATCCATCATTATAATGCAATTGCATTACGATTGTGAAAATGACCATGATGTGATATTTTGAAAATGAACTTGAAGCATTGTAAAAACGAACTTGTTGTGTTTTGGTGAACGAACTTATTTACTATTTATTAGTATAATGATGTATTCACATTACTATTGTAAACATTTTTAAATAATATTTTAAAAATGAACTAGTAGTATATTGAAAATGAACATAATATAGTGTCTTAATATAATTGTATGTTAATTTAAAATAAAAATAAAAATATTAATATGTGTGTTGTTTAAAGGTTTTAATTAGAGCTTGTTAATGATATATTTTTTATATATTAATTTTATTTATTTAAAAAAATAAACTTAAATTGGAAAAAAGTTAATATGGTTCACTTTATAAGATAGACTATGGTGGATGTTATAACAATCATCTACCATGTGTTCCAAAGATATAACAAGTTAGGTTGAGTCACCGTGATTTATCCATCCATTTTCCTATCGGGTTGGGGTGTGGAGGCCATTGGGGCAAGGTAATTTCCTATTTTGAGTGCAAGTTTCCTCTACCATGTGTTCTAACAATTGTTATATCGTGCACCAGGACGCACAATAAAAATAACATGTTTCATATGTATAGAATTGTATAGTAGAATATATATAAACTCCTAACATAATACAGATAATCTAACAAAATACATAATATATATATAAACTCTTAACATAATACACATAAACTCTTAACATAATACACATAAACTCTTAATATAATACACATAAACTCTTAACATAATACACATAAACACAAAAAAATAAAATGGTAACGGGATTGGACAGACGAAACAGTGTCCGTTGCGCCGTCACGTCAACTCCCCACCAACTTATAGAAACAATGTCGCTTTAGGCCAAGGCGCACGATATAATTTGCCGTGTTTCAAAAATATAACAAGCTAGACTGAGTCACTGTGATTTATCTCTCTGCTTTCCTAGCGAACTAGGGTGTAGAGGTCCTGGCCTTGGGGAAAAATAATTTCGTATTTTGTGTGCAAGTTAGACTAGTTATTCAATAGAAAAGAATAGCATTTTTGTTTTTTTTTTTTTTTTGTTTTTTTTTTTTAATTCATTCTGTGAATCAAACGTGCTGTAATGTTATCATATTAAAAAAAAAAAAAATTAAAGGGAATTTACAAATCCAATAACTAACCCACCGAACACACCTATTAAATTATAAAAGAAAACAAATTAAACCAAGCCTACAGACTTAATTGTGATTCATAAGCAAATGGGTTCCCCTATGTGGAAATGCAGAATAAATACATCTAACCGGTCACATGTGACAATAGTATAGACCACGTTGGATTTTTAATTTGGAACATGGATAAATAGCAGAGTATTATAAATTGACCAGTCTCCATTGAATTCTAATCTAAAATAACATTCAAATTATATATTTATATTTAATATATTGTGTACCTAACTACTATAATTAATATATTATTTACTTGCAGTTAACATGTTATGTACCAGAATCGGACTCCTCCGCGGCCGCCTAGACCGCCTAGTCGGCCGAATTGGCGATTTTTTTATTTTTTTTTGTAGGGTTTAAGTTAAAAACTTTGCGAAGGTATAACTTTTGTCTCGGTTGTCTATTTTGGACAAATTTTTTTTTTCCAAATGCTTCTTTTGCTCTTAATTTTAGTTTTTTATGTGTTTAGATGATTTCAATAATATTTTAAACAATTTTATAGCCACTTAAATAAATAGTTTGTAAGAAAAAATGATGAGAACCTTATGTTTATTAGTGAATTTTGATAATTTTAAATTTTAAATTTTTTTTTTTACATTTTAAAAAATAAAAAATATATAAAAAATATAAAAAAATCGGCGCCTAGGGGGCGCCTAACGTGTTTTGCAACCTTGTTATGTACATAGAATTAATAAATTATGTACCTATTACAACTACTACAATTAACATATTAAGTACCTTGAGTTAACATATTATGTATGCACAGTTAAAAAATTTTGTATATGCAATTAACATAATATGTACCTTCAATTTATTAATAAATACATAATATCTTAATCGAACATGCATAATATGTTAATTACATATATGCCTTGTTTGGTAACATAGTTAGCTTATCAGTCAATTTTAACTTATTTGACCACTATCATATCAGCTGTTTAACTTGGTTAAATAATTCATATGACTATTTAATTAATTAGTTTTTTGTAACAACTTATTGTTCTAAAATGCTAAAATTCAAAAAGTTGCTTAATGATTAGTTTTTTGAAAAGGTCATTTTGCATGTAATCAACTAACAACTAATGTCTAATTTACCAAACACTTTTCTATAATTTGTTAATGCTATCAACTAGTCAAACTCACTAACCCAATCAGTTAATAACTATTTATCAAACACCCCATAGATAATATGAATATTACAGATTATCTTGGCAATGCAAATTACAATGTTTGGTTGGACAGATTGTAGAAAAGTTGGCCACAAACATAGCTAATTACGAATGTGCAATTCGTAGTTTATTTCCTAACTTTTTCCAAAGACAATTGCCATACACCCATGTTAAACAGTACACTAATCAACAGTATTTCTCTGATATTTCATATTTGTTTTAATTATTACTCCTATAAGTACCCATCCATCTGCCACTCTGAAGCTCACCATGCATAAACACAATCGCTAAAAAAATTGTTTTGATTTGATTATTCCATGGAGGCCCCAACTTGGATTGCCTATGCAGCAGCCTGCCTGTCTACCATTGCACTTATCCTCCTTGCCAAACATCTCCGCCGGAGAAAGCTTCATCTACCGCCCGGTCCTAAGCCATGGTGCATCATCGGAAACTTGAACCTCATCGGCACCCGCCCTCATCGTTCCGTCCACGATTTGTCGCTCAAATACGGCCCCATCATGCAGCTCCAGTTTGGGTCCTTCCCGGTGGTGGTCGGCTCCTCGGTAGAAATGGCAAAGACTTTCCTTAAAACCATGGACATCAACTTCGTTGACAGGCCGGCTAACATGCATATATGTTTATTCATAAATTAGGACTTGCTCGCTGGTGGAACAGAGAACTCTACAGTGATAGTGGAATGGGCAATTTCTGAGCTCCTAAAGAAGCCAGAGATATTCAAGAAGGCCACAGATGAACTAGACCATGTGATCGGTCAAAAGAGGTGGGTAGAAGAGAAGGACATGCCAAATCTTCCATACATTCAGGCAATAGTTAAAGAGACGATGAGATTACACCCTGTGGCGCCGATGCTGGTGGCACACCTTTGCCGCGAGGACTGCAAGGTTGCTGGCTATGACATTCCGAAAGGCACTCAAGTCCTGGTGAGCGTTTGGACCATCACAAGAGACCCGGTTTCATGGGACAATCCGAATGAATTCATTCCTGATAGATTCATTGGAAAGGACATTGATGTGAAAGGATGTGATTTTGAACTCTTACCATTTGGTGTGGGAAGAAGAATGTGTCTAGCCTATAGTCTTGGCCTGAAAGTCATTCAAGCTAGCTTGACTAATTTCTTGCATGGGTTTAATTGGAAATTACCAAATGATGTAACTCCAGAGAATCTCAACATGGATGAGAACATTGGACTTTCTACACGAAAGAAAATCTCACTAACAACTGTCATCGAGCCAAGGCTTCCGATGCATGTCTACTCTCACTAGCTTGTACTGATTTAGGATGTCTTCGATCGGTTATATTTTGTGCAAGCGTTTGAGTGTTACTGTGTAACTTTTGAAGTTAATAAAGAAATTTCTGCCCTTTTACATAAAAAAAGACTTATAAACGGAAAACAAGTCTTTAATGTAAAAAGTGATCATTGTTCACCATCCATCAGAATTTAAGGGACTTTAAAAAAAATGTAAAATCTATTTTTTGTTATAAATATATATTAATGTAACATTATTTCTTTTGTGACGGACATTATAGTCCGATAATTAAGAATGTCATTATTGTACGTATTCGTTATATTTGTATTGTATATATTCTTACATATGTTGTATTGTTTGGAGGGTTAATGAAACTTGGAATATCCCCTACACTATTATCTATCAATTCTCTCTTTTCTCTTTTCAATATCTTCCTTCCTGCAATGTTACTCAGTTCATCGATTAATAGCTAATGGCCAGCGGACATAAAATTATAACAAGCTATCAGCACGCTACCACTCTAATTGACAAACAGTATATATGCTAATCTTTTCGTTATCATTCCTATATCGAAATGAAATTATAGTTGTGTTGAACTGAAACTGCAGTGTATACAAACTGAAACTGAAGAACAGATTTTTTGCGGAACGTCGCGAAACGAATTCCTTTTCTTTTCATTAAATAAAATAACGTCGTTTTGATGCACGGTGCATAATCGATTATACACCGCGGTACATAATCGATTATGCACCGCGGTGCACGATACAATTCGCCATTGTTTGAGAAGAAGAGTGTTCATTTTTTTCTTACATAATTGGACCCCATGCTTTTGGGCCTCTTCAGCCCAGTTTATTTTTTAAAAATAATATATTAATTAAATATATATAATAAATATAGAGCAAATTATCAAAATGGTCCCTCGACTATGTCGATTTTAACAATTTAGTCCTACTCATTTTGATTTCTTTAATCAAATCCTCCGACTATCAAAATTTTAACCATTTTAGTCCTCCGGTGACTTGGATGACATATTTTGAGGGATATTATTGGAAGTTCACTGTATTAGTCGTTGGTCCTCCGTTCACCGGCTATTTGTTCGTTCCGTTGTGTATTATGGCCGGAAAAGGGAAGAAGACTGCAACCCATTCGCCGGAGCCGTCGGTTTCTCGCACTCTTGGCTCGCAAGACACCTCCAATGAGGTTCAAAGGCCTGGGCAGGGTGCACTTCGGGGTCAACACAATTTCCAGAAAACTCCCGCCCGCTTTGCCAACCCGTTCCTTACTACTATGCTCGAAGGGGAGGATTGTCGTATCCAGAAGTTTGATTGTAATGGCGTTGCAAAGATTGGTTCGACCGATTTGTTGGAGGTTGAAGATGAGCCGATGTTCAGTCTCCTTGGCAGGTTTGCTGGCCGCTTCCCGGGCATGAAGGCTATGATTTCGGAAATGGTGCCGCTGTAATCGGCGAGGAAAACGAGGAAGTTCATCACGTACCGAATCAGTGGATGGATTGCGCCGCCGGGAGATGGTTTTGTGGAATCTTTCTGTATCGCCGCCTCAAACTCCGACAACAATGCTCTAACGGCGTCGCCTAACTTTGATATTGACGCTGCAGCCTGAGACTTCACGGCTGCATTAGAATCGAAGCTAAAAATCGATTCAATTTCTGGCGAGAGGTCCGAAATCGCCTCGTAAAGGTCCAAATAGCGAAACATCTTCTCGATCGAGGTCTTCTTATATTTAGCCGCCGATTCAAGGAAACCGAACAAATTGAGAGCACCGTCTTTAGAGATTTCGGCGAAACACGATTCTCTGATGTGATCGGATGTCGAGAAGATTTCATCGCAGAGAATTCTCTCACCGAGGAAAAGAGTTCTCACCGCGATTCTGATACCGCAGCGCCAAATATTACTATTCAGCGGGAATAATTACGAAGTTACTAAACTACCCTTACCATCGCCGGAAGTTGGCCATCCAAGTCATCAGAGGACTAAAATGATTAAACTTTTGATAGTCGGAGGATTTGATTAGAGAAATCAAAATAATTAGGACTAAATTGGTGAAATCGACATAGTCGAAGGACCATTTTGGTAATTTGCTCAATAAATATAATATGTGTTTTTTTTTTTTTTTGGGTCTCTTCACATTGTCATTATTATTATTATTATTATTATTATTATTATTATTATTATTATTATTATTATTACTATTATTATTATTATTATTATTATTATCATCATCGGGGATTTTTATGTTGTGGAACCGTGTGCATCATGCATGGTGCACACAGGTCTAGATTCATATTTTCTATACTGTAGATTCATAATTTCTAAATCGTAGATTCATAATTTCTAAACTAGAGATTCATAATTTCTATACAGTAGATTCATAATTTCTATACAGTAGATTCATAATTTCTATACTGCAGATTCATAATATTTGTACTGTAGATTCATAATTTTTGTACTGTAGATTCATAATTTCTAAACTGTATAGTTATCAAATTATGAACATATAGTTATGTGATTTGTGAATACAGAGTTCAACAATTGAGAATATTAACATCGAAAATTATGACCATATAGCTCTATAATTATAAGCATATATTTATAAAATTATGAATCTACAGTATAGATTTTATGAATCTACAGTATAGAAATTATGATTCTAGACCTGTGTGCACAACATAATTTGCCTATTATCGGCATGTGATTATTTAAAATCGTTTATGATATATATACATGTATTTTTTTGAAAACACACACACACACAGATATATATATATATATATATATATATATATATATATATATATATATATATTGATTTGGGCCTACAATTTGATTTTTTTTACAGAATTGAGAACTATGTTGCTTTCAAATTGCCATTCAATTTATTATTTGAATTTATTGTTAATATCAGTCAACGTCCCTCAAGTATAGTGGTGGAACCACCTATGATTCTAAACTTTCAAATCAACCATCCGTGATCCTCCAAATTTTAAAATTGACATGCCATAGTTCTGCCGTGAAATGCGATGGCATAAATGACCTTTCACATTTATCTCACCCAAAACCCTTCATTTTGTGATCTGAATGCCATCTATGAACATGGCATAACAACAATTTGGGGTTGCAAACAGTAGCACATTGTTGTTGTTCGCAGTCTCTTATTGCAAATAATAGTTCTTTGCGTTTGTAAAGATAAATGATAAGAATCAAAATCATTGAAAGTTTGTAAGGATGTATTCAATTTAGAATTTTAATGACTTTTGTAAATTTTTTAAAATAAAAAGTTGATAAAAGTCTATAAATGTTTTTTATATAGACTTTTATAGAGTCTTATAAAGTTTTAAAAAGTTTTGAACGACTTTATAAAAGTCAATCAATGTTTATTAAAATCTATTATTTTAAAAATGTTTAAAATTTTACAAAAGTCATGACTGAATACACCTCTTAAAGGGAATATACAAATCCAATAACTAACCCACCGAACACACCTATTAAATTATAAAAGAAAACAAATTAAACCAAGCCTAGAGACCTAATTGTGATTCATGAGCAAATGGGTTCCCCTATGTGGAAATGCAGAATAAATAAATCTAACCGGCCACATGTGACAATAGTATAGACGACATTGGATTTTTAATTTGGAACATGGATATATAGCAGAGTATTATAAATTGACCAGTCTCCACTAACTACCTATCTTTCCATTAAAATTAGTAGTTTATTTTTAAATTAAAAAAAAAACATTTAGTCCGAAACTGATAGGTTAGTTTTAATAAATCAAAAAAATTATAATATATAATTAAATAACGGTGTGATTCAGAAATATCGTTTGATGAAAAATATTTACAATAAAAAGATGTATTTATTTATAATAAATGATATATGTATCAATAGACCCTACAAATATTCTTTAACATCGTAGACGTCGGTGAGTACGTAAAAAAAAAATTAATCAACTCTTAAAACTAACCATCAATCAATCAACAAATTGAAAAAAAATAAAAATACATGTAATATATCTTGTTCCATCTTTCAACAAATTAAAAAGTAGCCTCACGTTTTCATTTGTCTTTGTTGGGATGTATCTTCAGGAAGTTAGGAGGTTGAGTCTCTTCCTTCAATTCGATAGTGAGGGAATTGATTCTTTGAATTGCAAAATGATTGAGAAAGTATAGAACAGATACTACCTTATAAAAAAGAGATAAATTTATTACTAATAGTTTAATATATATTAAATTAAATATTTTCAAAAACTAAATTGTAAATTACTTAAATTAAGTTTTGAAATGAACATTCATTTGCAAGTATATGAAATGAACATTGATCATGTCATCTTCCCTCTCCTTTTCTGCAATTATTTATTAATTCATCAATTATATGTGTATGTATAATACTATATATGTTTAGCATATAATATATAAATATAAATATGCAATTTAATTATCATTTTAAATTTTTAGTTGAGATGCAGCACATCCTTCAATTTGGTATCAGACCTAATCACATGCTAAAGGTCATGGATTCAAATATCCGCGTCACCCGATAAAAAAAGACTATGATCCACGTGTTGTTTGAAGTCTATTAAAAATAATCAACCTGTACACGTAAAGGTATGTGTTAATTGAGATGGAGCACATGCTTCAATTTCCTATGGAGAATTGAAATTAGGAAGCCAATCATCAGAATTCTAGAATGCCTCAAATGGTATGTTCGTGATGAGTTATCATTTGTATGAGTAATTATTTCTGACCCAAAATATATGTCAGTGAGGCACTAGGCATATATCGTCGTCTAGGTTCAACTGAATCTTGATAAAAATTAAATTAATAATATTTTATTACGATAATCATGTTTTATTGCTCAGTTATTCCTTTCGAGCTATATATCTTAAATCATTGTCTAGTTGTCTAATGTTGAACTAATCTTAACTTCGGCTAAAATATAGGAGTTTTTTTTTTTTTTTAAATGTTTTGAGGTTTGATGACGTGAATTAACTTTAGTATGATGAGCTAATCCAAGGGACGTACATACAAATCTAACAATCCACATACCTATTCTCCAAAGAAAAATAAAAAAGAAAACGAAACCACGCACAGAGTCACAAACATCAGCAGTTATAACATAGATCTGTTTATAACTATTTTCTCAACCTACTGAAACACAGAGAGTTAATAGCATTTTCAATGAGACTTGAACTCACAACCTTCAGGTAGGAGTTAAGCTTGATACATTGTGGATTTTAATATAAAATAACATACAAATTATGTATTTATATTTAACTAGTAATTCACCCGCGTGATGCACGGAAAAAAATTATGTTATTATAAATATAAATAAAAAATAGAAAAACTAAAATATTTTAAATTATTTAATATTATAATATTTTTGAGCTTCCATTGGTCAAGTATTTATTATTTTTATAGAATACAAAATTACAATTAAAATTAAAATTATAATTTTGTATGGTTAATATAATCTCTAATTATGTGCATATTCAAATAAATTTATAGAGAGAATTTACATAATTACATTGATTTATTCTTAATTGTATTTCATCTATATTATAATTTTCACAATACGAATAATAACTAAGATAATTACATTTGGAAAACAAATTTCAAATTTTGTAGGTGTAAATTTAAACTCTAATTGAACACATTTTTTATATGATTATATAATATATAGCTATTTTATTTTTCAAAAGTATATTTTTTATATGATTATATAATATATAGCTATTTTATTTTTTAAATGTTGTGTATTTATTTTTTTTATTTTTTTTAATAAAGGATGTTGTTGCATTAATTGTAACATTAAATATTTCCCAAACCATATAGCTTTATTATAGAGTTAATTACAGCAATGGTCCTCTGACTATATTGATTTTCCAAAATTAGTCCCCGACTTTGAAATTGGACACTTTACATCCCTTGACTTTCAATTTCTTTCCAATTGAGGTCCTTTCGTCAGGTTACGATAAAATGAACTTTAAATGAAAGGGCAAAGTAGTCATTTCATCTGCCTAATGTATAATTCTTCGTATTTCTTCCTTGTATACGCAACTTCGGGCATCAAATTCACTTAATTGCTTAATTCCTAATGGAATTTTGTTCTTCGAGTGGATTTAGAGATTAAGCAATTAAGTGAATCTGATGTCCGAAGTCGAGCATACAAGGGAGAAATACGAAGAATTATACATTAGGCAAATGAAATGACTACTTTACCATTTCATTTAAAGTCCAATTTACCATAATCTAACGAAAGGACCTCAATTGGAAAGAAATTGAAAGTCAAAGGACGTAAAGTGTCCAAATTAAAAGTCGAGGACTAATTTTGGAAAATCAATATAGTCGGAGGACCATTGCTGAAATTAACTCCTTTATTATATAAAGGATATATTATGTACCTAGCTACTACAATTAATATATTATTTATTTGCAGTTAATATATTATGTACTTGCAATTAATATATTATGTACCTATTATAACTACTACAATTAACATATTAAGTAACTTGAGTTAACATATTATGTATTAATAAATTTTATATATGCAATTAACATAATATGTACGTTTAATTTATTTATAAATATATACAAAATAACTTAATCGAACATGCATAATATTTTAATTAGATATATGCCTTGTCTGGTAATATAGTTAGCTTATCAGTCAATTTTGACTTATTTAACCATTATCAGTTGTTTAACTTGGTTAAATAATCAATATTAGTGTATGATTAATTAGTTTTTTTGTAACAACTTATTGTTCTAAAATGTTAAAATTCAAAAAGTTGCTCAACAATAAGCTTTTTGAGAAAGTCATTTTGAATGTAATTAACTTACGGGTTATGTCTAATTTACTAAGGACTTTTCTAAAATCAGTTAATATTATTAACTAGTCAAATTCACTAATTCAATAAATTAATAGATAATCCGAATATTATTTTGAAGTGGACCAGGGTCAATAGTATAAAAGTTGGCCAGTCATGTTAAACAGTACACTAATCAACAGTATTTCTCTGATATTTCGTATTTCTTTCAATTATTACTCCTATAAGTACCCATCCATCTGCCACTCATAAGCCCACCATAAACACAATCGCCAAACAAATTATTTTGATTTCATTATTCCATGGAGGCCCCAACTTGGATTGCCTATGCAGCAGCATGGCTATCTACCATTGCACTTATCCTCATTGCCAAACATCTCCGCCGGAGAAAGCTTCATCTACCGCCCGGTCCAAAGCCATGGCCCATCATCGGAAACTTGAACCTCATCGGCACCCTCCCTCATCGTTCCGTCCACGATTTGGCGCTCAAATACGGCCCCATAATGCAGCTCCAGTTTGGGTCCTTCCCGGTGGTGGTCGGCTCCTCCGCAGAAATGGCAAAGACTTTCCTTAAAACCATGGACATCAACTTCGTTGACAGGTAGGTAATAATAAGAATATAATGTCACGCTTATTAGTAAGATAATTTCCGGGGAATTGAAAATGCAAACTCATATTTTGATCAATCTGTTCATTTGTAATGTGTTATCTATCGATCAGACCCAAAACTGCGGCGGGAAAGTACACAACGTATAATTATTCCGATATTGCTTGGTCCCCGTACGGCCCGTACTGGCGGCAGGCCCGGCGAATGTGCCTCACGGAGCTATTCAGCGCCAAGAGACTTGAATCTTACGAGAACATCCGCTCCCAGGAATTGAAATCCATTCTCCGTGAACTCTACAACACATCTTCTGCCCAGAAACCAATTCTCTTGAGGGACTACATGTCCACCTTGAGCTTGAACGTGATCAGCTGGATGGTGCTCGGGAAGAGTTACCTGAATGAGTCTGAAGGAGCAATTGTGAGCCCCAATGAGTTCAGGAAGATGTTAGACGAGCTGTTCTTGCTCAACGGGGTGTTGAACATCGGCGATTCCATCCCCTGGATCGATTTCTTGGACCTGCAAGGGTACATTAAGAGGATGAAGGCATTGAGCAAGAAATTCGATAGGTTTTTGGAGCATGTTGTTGATGAGCATAATGCTAGGAGAGTGGCAGAGGGGGACAGTTTTGTGGCTAAGGATATGGTGGATCTTCTGCTCCAATGGGCTGATGATCCTAGCCTGGAAGTCAAGCTTGAGAGGCATGGAGTAAAAGCTTTCATCCAGGTTTGTGTTTCAGATCACACTATGCATATATATATATATATAGGCAAAGATCTAACATGCATATATGTTTATTCATAAATTAGGACTTGCTCGCTGGTGGAACAGAGAACTCTACAGTGATAGTGGAATGGGCAATTTCTGAGCTCCTAAAGAAGCCAGAGATATTCAAGAAGGCCACAGATGAACTAGACCATGTGATTGGTCAAAAGAGATGGGTTGAAGAGAAGGACATGCCAAATCTTCTATACATTCAAGCAATAGTTAAAGAGACGATGAGATTGCACCCTGTGGCGCCGATGCTGGTGGCACACCTTTGCCGCGAGGACTGCAAGGTTGCTGGCTATGACATTCCGAAAGGCACTCAAGTCCTGGTGAGCGTTTGGACCATCGCAAGAGACCCGGTTTCATGGGACAAACCGAATGAATTCATTCCTGATAGATTCATTGGAACGGACATTGACGTGAAAGGATGTCATTTTGAGCTTTTACCATTTGGTGCGGGGAGAAGAATGTGTCCAGCCTATAGTCTCGGACTCAAAGTCATTCAAGCTAGCTTGGCTAACCTCTTGCATGGGTTTAATTGGAAATTACCAAATGATGTAACTCCAGAAAAGCTCAACATGGATGAGAATATTGGACTTTCTACACGAAAGAAAATCTCACTAACAACTGTCATCGAGCCAAGGCTTCCAATGCATGTCTACTCTCTCTAGCTTGTACTGATTTAGGATGTCTTTGGTTATATTTTGTGCAAGCGTTTGAGATTGTGTGTGACTGAACTTATTTAGGAGCTTATAACTTGTTTTAAGCTACTAATAAGCTATAAGTTCTATTTGGTAATATTATCAAAATAAACTCCTACCTTAAAATAAGAGGTGTATGGAGTATCGTTTCAAAATAAGCTAGTGGTTTCCTTTATATATATATATATATATATATATATATATATATATATATATATATATTATCCTTGTCCTTATTATTTTAAAGAAATGACATCCTTTATCTTTCCCCATTAAAACCATTTTCTCTTCTCCTTGGTGTGTTACTATGCAACTGTTCAAATTAATAAAGAAATTTGGAATACGGGTCAAATAGGCTATGTGACTACACACCAAAATGCAATTATGTCGTTAAACTCAAAAAATATACAATTAGGTCCCTAAACTAACCAATTTTATGTAATTAGTCTAATTTATAAGTTTTTCATATTTCTAACAGGTCACCCAAATTAATTTTTTTTAAATAATTACTTAAAACTAATTATTTATTTTTTTTTAAAAAAAACATCTCTATGCTGGAGATGAAGAAACATTCTTCGTCTCCGGTCATGAAGACAAAAAAACCTCCGTCTCTCTGACTAGAGACGAAGAAACCATCTTTGTCTCTAGCCATGAAGATGAAGAAACCTCCGTCTCGTCTCCGGCCATGGAGACGAAGAAACCTTCTTCGACTCCAGCTAGAGACGAAGGTTTCTTTGTCTCCATGGCCGAAGCCCCGGAGACGAATATAGTTTCTTTGTCATTGGCATGGAGACGTTCTTTTTTTAAAATTTTTTTTATATAGTTTTAAATAATTAGTTTTAAAAAATATTTTAAAATTAGGGTAACTTGTTAGAAATTTGAAAAACCTATAAATTAGACTAATTGCATGAAATTGGTTAGTTTAAGGACCTAATTGTATATTTTTTGTGTTCAATGACCTAATTACATTTTAGTGTTAAATCTAAATATAGTCTAACCATACAGAGTAAAATCTACGAGAAACCTAACCTCGTAGTAGCGGGAAGCGGAAATAGTGTAAATCTCCAGCCATAGTTGATCTTGAACAGTAGATCTACAGAATAGTGTTCGTCGTTTTGTTCCATACTTGACTCCCAGCCCTAGATGGTGTACTGGTGTTTTCTAAGTTGTATGAGTACCATATAATGAATAATTTGTTCTGTATCCCATCAATACAGGCTTTATATAGGCACATTGGTGGAATACAGACTTAAACCTAAATGTCCAGTCCACTGTCTCACTCAATCACAAAATCTTTCTTCCTATTAGTTTTAAGTTTTTCACAACTTTTGGTGGACTCACCATTTTATCTCCATATTTTAATTATTTTTTTTATTTATTATCATTCTAAAAATTATAATTATAAATTTGATAAAAATATTATTAATAATATTATTATTGATAATTAAGAATTTTAATTTAATTAATAAATATAAATTTAATAACAAAATAACTTAAAAATTAAATAAAATTAAATTAATAATTAAAAAAAAAAAACAAGAATGTTAACAAGTTAAATTAAAAATTAAAAACTAAAAAAAAATAAAAAAAAATAAAAAATAAAAAAGCTGGCCGTTGCATGCAAAATAAAACAAAGATCTTCAATTGAGAGTGGCAGCCACTCTCAAATCTCAATGGCCCACTCTCGAAAATTATGCTGTGCAACCGTGTGCGCCATGTATGGTGCACACGGTTGCAAAAACGACGTCGTTTTGATTAAAATCGCGCGTCCCACTTAAAAGAAAAAAATTTAGGTTCGATTCTTGGCAATAGCATTTTTTTGTGTGCATAATTTGAATTATATATCCACAATGAATGAACTAAATATCCATAGTGAATGAATAACTAAAAATCCAGAATGAATGAACTAAATATCCAGAATGAATGAACTAAATATCCACCATGAATGAATTAAATATCCACAATGAATGAACTAAAAATCCAGAATGAATGAACTAAAAATCCAGAATGAATGAACAACATAATGATGTTGAGGGGAATCGAAATTGATTTATTTTTTTTTAAATAAAACATGCGTTTTTAATCAAAACGACGTCGTTTTGCAACCGTGTGCACCATGCATGGTGCTGACGGTTGCACATCATAATTATTGAGCCACTCTCTGGTAGTTGTTGACAACACCATGCTATGATTGATATCCATTTCATCTGGTAGTTCAAATAGGGGCTAATGTATTTAACAAGGAACAATAATGAATTCCTCTTGGCAGTAACATTATACAAATGTTTGTTAAATTAATTATTTAGTGAATATGTTTTTTTATTTATTTATAAATTATTTTAAATTTTGTGACTACTATGTAGTGTGATAACATTTCTATTACCATTCTAAATAGGTGATCACAGGATCAAACTTCGGTAGTGGGGGAATTGGTTCCTTGGGCTGAACAATGACATGTTACCATTTTAAAATACATCATTTTCGCTACTATTATTATTTTACATAATTACACTTTTGAGAGTAATTTTTAGTAAGAATCTAAAATATATTAATTTTGAAATTTTAATTAGGAATAAGGGTCAAATAGGCTATCGAACTGCACACGATAATGCAATTAGGTCACTGAACCTAAAAAATAATAATTGGGTCCCTAAACTAACCAATTTCAAACAATTCTTCCAATTTGCAAGTTTCCTACAGGTGATCCTCCCAAATTAATTATTTTTTAAAAAATAAATTTTAAAAATTAATTATTTAAATTATAAAAAAAAAATAGGACTTCGTCTCCACGGCCGGAGACGAAGAAGGTTTCTTCGTCTCCGGTCGGAGTCTTGTTTTTTTTTTTTTTTTTTTTTTTTTTTTTTTTTTTTTAATTTAAATAATTAATTTTTAAAATTTATTTTTTAAAAAATAATTAATTTGGGAGGATGATCTGTTAGATCTGTTGGAAACCTGCAAATTTGAAGAATTGTTTGAAATTGATTAATTAGTTTAGGGACTGAATTGTTGGTTTTTTAGGTTCAATGGCCTAATTGCATTATCGTGTGCAGTTTCGATGGCCTATTTGACCCTTATTCTTTTTAATTATATACTAATTAAATTACTATAGTCCTAATATTAAATTAAATATTTTCAAAAACTAAAGAGTTAATCAACATTTTGGTCTCTTAATTATTTTTCAACTATCAATGTAGTCCCTAGTTTTCAATTTCAACTAATTTGATAATCAAATTGTTTAAAATTTCGTCAATTTAACCTTTTCAGTGACCAAAATGGTGATTTTTCACATTTTAAAAATCTCATAAATTTTTCCCTACATCAAGTGAATAGGAGGATTTAGAAAGAATCTAAAATATAGTCCGAATTATTTTTTGAAATTTTAATTATTATACTAAATTACTAATAGTCTATATTAAATTAAATATTTTCGAAAACTAAATTGTAAATTACTTAAATTAAGTTTTGTTAATTAAATCAAACACATAAGGGTGTGGTAGGGAATATCCCGACCGACATAAGCTCCACCACGACCGACTTGCCTTTGTCTTTCTCTTGTGATCTTTGCAGGTGGCAGGTCGGGCTTTTTCCATGAAGACCCCGGTCGGGAATGGCCGGGAGTTGCCCGAGCGACGGTGTCGACCACCGAGCGGTAGCCCTCTGGCGAAAGAGCTGACAACGGACACGTGGCGGCTCTTTACATCGACAGCCATGGCACCCGGGAGGATGACACGTGGTGGCTACGTGGAGGGCATGCCGAACGGCTGGAATCCTGTCCCCGGCATAGCGGCTATAAATACCCACAGTGGCTACAGTGTAGAGGACTTTTGGACGATCGATAGGTTGTTGTTAGAGAATCCCGACCGCAGTCAGTCGGTACTCAGAGCAGCCAAGTAGATTGTACTTAGGGCCTTTACCGGGATCAATAAAGATTTTACTTGCTTTAATTGGTCTCGTGTTATTTTATATTGCTTACGTAGAATTAGCAGTATCAGGGTGGATCATGGATGGAGTAAATAAAAATCAAAGTGCTTTGGTTGTTAAAATGAAGATGATAAAAATGGTTAAATAAAAAAGAATTTTTTTAAAAGTAAAGAAAAATAAGTGTGTTGGTTGTTAAAATGAAGAAGATGGATATTATTAAATGAAAAAAAAAATGTAAAGAAGAAAAAGTATGTAAGGTGCTAGTCTCCCCAAGGGTGCGACTTTTTATGCAGACTGGCAGCTTGACTTTGATTAGAATAGTCCTCCAACAAGTGTTTGCAAAATTTCCAAGAATATATTAAGAAATACTAAGAAGCTATTGGGAGTCAAGTCAATATATATCTTACTTTCTTCCTAAAAATTAAACCTCAATAGTTTAACTACTCCATTATATGCCAAACACCTTGTGCTCAGATGACATGTAGTGACTCTTCTATATGAAAGATCATGATGAGATCGAGCATCAGTGGATCTGATTTACTCTTGTGCTTCAATGTATTGAGAAAATATATAGATGAACAGATACTATAATCTAATAGAGTTAATAGTACTAAAAGAAAATTATTCCATTATATTATATTGTTAAATACTTATATATAATTATATATTGCATGACTATATCGTCTATTATGCTGACTATATGTTTAATTTTAACAATTAGGTCTGTACGTAGACAGGTTATTTATTGGGAAACTTATTATTGTATTAAAAAATTAAAAGGGAATTTACAAATCCAATAACTAACCCACTGAACACACGTATTGAAAAATAAAATAAAAAATAAAAAAAAATTAAAGCAGCCTACAGACCTAAATGTGACTCACGAGCAAATGGGTTCCCCTATGTGGAAATGCAGAATAAATAAATCTAACCAGGTCACATGTGACACTAGCAGTATAGACCAGTTGGATTTTTGGAACATGGATATATTGCAGAGTATGTATTATAAATTGACCAGTCTCGATTAACTACCTATCTTTCCATTAAAATTAGTAGTTTATTTTGAAATTAAAAAAAAAAAAAAACATTTTGTCCGAAACTGATAGGTTAGTTTTTTTTTTAAGGAAAAGAATTAATGCATTAAATCACGTAAAAGATGCGTCACAAGAAAATGAGGTGGGACATCAAACCACTCTCCACAACGTGCAGTTGAACTCGCCCCTCTAGCTAAAGTGTGAGCGACAGAGTTCGCAGATCGTTTAACAAAAGAGAATCTAACATCATCTATCACTGATGCTAATTCTTTCACATCATCAATAAGCAGTCCAAACGCAGAAACAAAAGAAGTTGCTTGTAGGGAATAATAAACAACCTGTGAATCCAACTTCACATCAACTCCACCCATACCTGTGTCCTTGAGCCAACTCAGAGCCTCTCTTAAGCATACCGTCTCAGCCTCATTAACTGTATACGTTCCCCCCAACTTCATACTTTTAGCGGCCAGAAAAGTTCCTACATGATCTCGCAGCACCCACCCCAACCCCATAGAGTTGGAGTCCGACAGCACACTAGCATCCGTGTTGAGCTTTAGCCGCCCTGCTTCGGGCCGTACCCACCCGCCCCCTCCAATATTTGTTAGTTTTAATAAATCAAAAAAAAAATTATTATATTAGTATATATAATTAAATAACGGTGTGATTCAGAAATGTTTGACAAAAAATATTTACAATAAATGATATATTGAACGATTACGAGTCTCCTCAGTAGACCCTACAAATATTTTTTAACATCGTGGCCGCCCTTAATAAAAAATAACAGTATTGCATCCATTATGGACGCCCTTAAGTAAAAAAAAATTTTTAGAAAATTGCATTCATTTCTAAGTATTGAACTTTAAGAAAATCATTTATCACTTAACTGCAAGGTCGTCTGATCTTATGCGTCGAATGATATCATTTCATGAAAAATGATTGTTGAGCATACAATATATAAATATAAATGTGTAGTCCATTTATCAGTAATTTAGATTTTTAGTTAATACCAAGAGCATCCTTCAATTAAGATTAATACAAGTTAACTTGAAAATTTAATGTCAAAATTAATTATTATGGTGTTTAATAGATAAATAATAGTGTAAATTGATTTTCACATAATTATACTGAACAACCACTTACACTTTGAACTAAATGTATACCATGTTATCCATTTCATCTCGTAGTTCAAATATGGCCGGGGCTAATGTATTTAACAAGCAATAATAATGAATTCCTCTTGGCTGCAGTAACATTATACAAATGTTTGTTAAATTAATTATTTAGTGTATGGGGTGTTTGACAAACTGCTGATAGCTGATAGCTTATCTAGTTGATTGGTTTAGCTAGTAGTTGATGTGTTAGTTGGTTTGACCAGTTGGTTATATTAACTGGTCATAAAAAAATGTTTGATAAATTAGTTGTTTACTAGTAACAGGTTGAATGTAAAATAACATTTAAGGGTATGACTTATGAGTATATTGTGTTATTTTAACCTTTAAATATAACAAGTTAAGATGATAAACTCTTATTAATAAATAATTATAAAATTTGGGTGTCATCTATACTTTTTTGAGAACATAAGTTAATTATTTTTGTTTATTAAATTATATTCTAAAATAATTTTTATTAATTATTTTCAATTTTAATAATTTAAAATGATTTACTATAAAAATAACAATAACAATAATAATAATAATAATAATAATAATAATAATAATAATAATAATACTATTATTATTATTATTATTATTATTGTTGTTGTTGTTGTTGTTGTTGTTGTTGTTGTTGTTGCTGTTGTCAAATGTCTAAACCCACAATCCGGTTTTTATTTTATTATTATTTTTATTGTTGTTGTTGTTGTTGTTATGCTAAACCCACCACCTATTTAAAAGCAAATCTCATTGATTTCAAATGATAAAATAGTTAATATACCATTGATTTCAACCAGCTGATTTAAAACGTTACATCCATCAACTTTTTAATTTTTGGTTGATTGACCCCATCAACCATTTACTAAACACTTCAAAATAGCTTATTGGTGGGTCAAACAGTCAAACTTGATCAAATCAGCTAAAATTTGGCTGATCACCCAATAACCAAACACCCTATATGTTTTTAAAATTATTTTAGATTTTGCAACTACTATGTAGTGTGATGACAACTCTGTTACTATTCTAAATGGATGGTTACATGATCGAACTTGGGTAGTGGGGGAGTTGATTCTTTGGACTAAAAAATGATTGAGAAAGTATAGAACAGATGCTACCTTGTAAAGAAGACATAAGTTTTATTACAAAAGTTATTATTATTGTTATTGTTGTTAAATCATATCAGCTGACAACTTAAAAAAAAAAAAAAAAAAAAAAAAAAGTGCATTTGTGATATTTTTTGGATACATCATGATTATGAAATACCTATTTTGACCTTACTTTCAACCATCCAAACGAAGGCAATATAACAAAATAAAAATGAAAAACTCGCTACCTTTGGAACAATTGAAATTGGTATGTAAATATGGAAATAATTCAGGTATTGAGTCTATTATAAATTTATTCTTCCCAAATCTATTATAAATTTATAAAGAAAAAGATAAAAATAGGCCATTGAACTATTTGGGAGATAGCAATTAAGCCACCGAACTCGAATAAGTTCCAAATTGATCCATGAACCTGAAAAAAAAGTGTAATTAGCAATATAATTTTAGCAGGTTACCAACAAATTTGTGATGATTAAGATATCATGTGTATTTTTTATTTTATTATTATTATTATCCTACTAAATATTTGACAAAAAAAAAAAAAAAAAAAAAAAAAAAAAAAAAAAAACTAAAAAACTAAGTATGATTTTAGACAATAGAAATAGAAATTACTTTTAGCACTAAGAGGGAGCACCGCACCATTGATGCACATGTTCAGATTACTAAATGTTTCATCAAAGGGATATTAAAAAATCAGATTAAGAAACAAAGCCACCAATCTTAGAAAACTTGATAAAAATAAGGAACACGAAATCTCTTCAGACAATGATTAAAGAACAGATCTATTCCAAAAAACAATGGTTCAAATACAAATTAGGGCAATTCTCGATGCACCCACAAATACACCATCCATTCCAAGATGGAGAAGAAGCGTTGTTTAAATGAGGCTCGTTGTTTTTTTTTTTTTTTTTTTTTTTTTTTTTTTTTTTTTTTAATTTATTTAAAAACTATGCATTTGTATTTATTTTCTTCAATTCTTATTTATTCAAGTTTTTTTTTTGTTTTGTTTTGTTTTTGTTTTGTTTTGTTTTGTTTTTTTTTTTTGTCAAATGCTTAGTAGGATAATAATAATAATAATAAAAAAATAAAAATACACATGACATCCTAATCATCACAAACTTGTTGATAACATACTAAAAATGTTAATTGTACTTTTTCTACAAGTTCATGGATCAATTTGGAGCTTATTCGAGTTCAGTGGCTTAATTGCTATCTCCAAATAGTTCAATGATTTATTTGTACCTTTTCCCAGTTTATAATTATACAATCCAGGGGGGAAATGAAAAATACATAATTTTCCCTACTACTATTATTATTTTACATAATTAAACTTTTGAAAGTAATTTTAGAAAGAATCTAAGATATATTAATTTTG